AGTTTTCATAGAATTCTGTCATAGTCCAGTCATTATTGGTAACGGTATCTATCGGAATGCTGAATCTGCGCTCAAATCAGATTTTAGTTTAGTTGTAAATATAGCTCTTATAAACCTGTTATGTTGATTAATGAATAATTTTTGATAGTCATAAATACAAGATCAGCGAAAAATAACATTTCTTAAATATCTGCGATGGCTTACTGAATATCAAAAATCTTGCTCTAACGAAATCTTGTAGGACGAATGCGCCACTGACCCGGACACTAAAAGTAGTCGGACAAATGTTATATTACTGATAAAAACTTGAATATTTGAAATCTTATACTTGCTGCTAATTGGTATCAGATTTATCAACTAATTTGTGGCAGTTTATAAAAATTTCATATTCACAGTTGTCATATTGACAACAGTATTAGTGCGTCAGAAACAGCATGCATTCGATTCCCCAATTTTTATCGTTTGTGTAGTGAATAACATAAAGTCTAAAGGCAAGTAGAATCGCCAACTGACTGTATACAGAGATTCCAAACAGTGTCAAAGCTCAATATCTTCGTTAGTATTAGTGTTGCAGAGAAAAGTTAAATACAAAGGTTGTAGGCTGAGCTAAGGGCTACAACCTAAATTTATTGTTAGCTATACAGGGTGTCCCACAAATTAGTGGCAATATAAACTTGTATTTTTTTAAATGGAATACCCTGTGTTTCTGTTGATTTTTAGAAGCGCGTTTTCTTAGTCATTTTTTCTATGTATGGTTCCGGGGGTTTGTACTGGGTATTTCGGAATATACGAGCCCCTTCCCACTTCAGTTGGCCCAACTATTGAAATCTTAGTTTTTTTGTTATCAAACACAAATAATAAAAATGTAGCAAGGTGTTATTGGTTTAAAATATTAACAATGAATATTTTGATGATATATAGTAGAAAACACCAACTTTATCACTCCCTAATCAAATTTGCAGCATAAAAATAACACATGTTGCAATTACAGCATGTCAACCTATTTTCATTTCAATGCAAAATAAGTCTATAACGCATAGGTTGCTGTCAGCTGTCAGAATACGTTTAAAATAATTTTAGGTAGTTAAGGTTTTCAAAATGGGTAGAGGAAAGGTTATTAGTGAGAAAATTTGATTACTGATAATTAAATTTTTTAATTCTGGGAAATCAAACTCAGAAATTGCAACTTTGTTAGACTTATCGCGGTACAGTGTGAGAAATATTGTTAGAAGATATAACGTAACTGGTTCAGTTAATATTAAGCCACGATATGTGAAAAAAAGTAATATCACAAATGCCGACCGAAGAGCATTAAGAAGAATAATCGTGAAAAACAGGCGTGTCAATTATTTACAATTAAGTGCTCTGTGGAGTGACGCTGTTGGAAGGAGAATTTCGAGGTCCACAACTCATAGTGAGACCCACAAACTGGGATTTAGCACTTGCAAGGTAAGTTTTCTTATAAAAAAAAATTAAGTAAAAACCCTAAAGTTGCACAACTTGTTTATAGGCCAAAGAAAAGCCATTATTAACTCCACTGCAAAACAAAAATTGGGTTAGATGGGCTAAAGAACATAGACAATGACACCTCAACAATGGTGTGCAATACAATGGAGTGATGCGGCCCGATTCGAAGTTTTTGTTGGTGACAATCGCAGTAGAGTTATTCGCAAAAAAAATGAAGTATTCCATGTTGACTGTCTGAAGAGAAAAGTGGAAGTGCCAGCATCCATTATGGTTTGGGGCAGTATGTCATCAAAATATGTATTTTTTACGACTAGAGTGTATCTAAAATGTTTTGAGAAAATAAATTGTTTTAGAAGTAAATAGTTTCGTCATGTTTAGTTTATAAAGGCATATTTTGTTACAAATCTTGAAGTGGGCCAACTGAAGTGGGAAGGGGCTCGTATGCCCACTTTTTCGTTAAAACTATTGCACATTTGACTTCCTGTATCTTGAACAACAATTTAGATAAAATCTATTTTGTTATACTGAGGATGAAAACGGTGGTTGACATTGATATCCAACGTTTCTTCTGTACATATAAATTATTCAAGACATACAGGGTGAGTCGAAACAGAAACATATATTTTTCTCGAAAAATTTAAATTAAACACCTCGTAGTGCTCTTCCAGTACCTATCTCCTTGATTATTGCGCTTACCATTTTAAAACTTCTAGTGTACTTTCAATACACATCATGTTATATTTTGGAGTAGAAGAATCGGAAACAAAAACGACCGAATTATATTTATTTATAATATTCACTTCCGGTTTAGCACCTTTATCTTTTTTTTTAATTCCAAATTCGATATTTTTATGTAGAGGAACAGAAAATTTCCTATATAAAACACCTTGTTCAATACTCCAATGTAATACTTTTGAATTCTAAAAAATACCAAACTTCAAGTACACTATATGTATACGAGGGATGTCTTTTAAGTTTTGCATATGGAAATAAAAAAACACGGTAGGTTGTTTTAAAAGACTTTAAAAGATTGTTTTTCGAAGTATTCTCCACGAAGATTAATACACATCGAACCAATTTTCGAAGCGCTTATTCTACTCGTTTGCTGACAGATCCAAAACGTCATTTTTGAATGCGTCAACTGCTTCTTCTGGTGACTGGAACCTTTGACCACGCAGTCTGTTTTTAATTTTCGGGGAAGTAAAGAAATCGATAGGATTTAGATCGGGACTATATGGAGGATGGTCCAATGATTCCACGTTTTCTTCCGTTAAATACTGCCTGGTTTTTTGGGCTGTGTGCGAGCTTGCATTGTCTTGGTGGAGGTTGATTCACCTTTCGGGGTTGATTTTTTGCACGTAGCCCGTCCTGTATCTCTGATTTCTTAAAAGATGAATTTGGAATTTTTTCTAATTTCCGAGAATGATACGGAGCATTATCCAGGACCACCACAGAATTGTCTTTAAGACGTGGTAAAATGCCTAAAAACCAGTTTTCGAATGCTTCACCATTCATCTCTTCGTGGTAGTCAGTGGTTTTGTTTTATTCAAAACACCATAGTCCTTCCTTCACGAAGCCATCTACACTCCCGATGTGGCAAATAATGAGCCTTTTTCCTTTGCCTATAAAGATAAAACTTGTTAAATACGGATGTACATTATATGTCTTTCACAAGAGTACTGAGGCCACGGAGATAGGGACACATTTCTGTATTTTATATAGTACGATGCTATATTGTTTCTCATGATAGCGGGATGCATGCGGTGAGATATATCGGACACTTCAACCAATGCATCATTTAATCTGTTGATGAATCTGGTTAGCTTAAGAAACAAAAAGAAACAGGCAACATCAATTAAACTAAAAAATTATCAAGTGTGACAAACTTATCGAAAAATTGACAAATCAACGCAATGTCTGACGTTGTTAATTAACGTGTTACATTCCGTGACGGACGAGGTATGTTGTCTCTGCAACGCTCGCATTGCTGTAAAAAATCTTGTCAACGATACCATAAGAATTCTAACGTAGAATACATTGATTTCCAGAGTGAACATCCCCTCGTTTTTTCTAGATATCTGATAACGTGTAATGCCTCATTTAAATCACTTTGGCTATGAAAAATTATCTAATAACTATTGTTGGATTTTCTAAAATGGAATGTCTGCATTACCTGTAGGGTTTTTAAGCCCAGTTGAAAGCCCATCTAAAAACGCTCTTCTTGCTGACGTTACTGTTAGGTCCACCCAAACTTTTGATTTTGTATGGCCAGCATTTATCCACGTCTCGTCCAGGAAGTAAATTCTACGGTTTTGGCTCCAGTATGTTTTTATTTTTGTCAAATACTCTCTCCTCCATAGTATAATTTCATCTCTATCCATCAATGAACTGTTTCGGCCTCTCTTCTGCCAATTGAAGTTGAGTTCCTGTAGAACGTCGTTTTACTAAAATTCGGCAAATCTGAGTCTTCATTCACTACTTTCAAAATCTTATCAATTGTAGGAATTTCATTCTGGAAAAGGAATTCATGAACCTTCCTTCTGATCGCATGTCTGTCAGCATCATCTATTTCTTTAATTTGGCTTTTATGGTTCTGATTCGTTTTAGGTTCAGCAAATGCATTCCGTAATTTATATTCTTTGAGTACTCTAAATACCGATGCACGAGAAACTCCAACTTTATTCGCCACCCTCTGCACAACATCGTTGACGCTGAGCTCAGGTTTTTCCTCCGTTTCACATTTATAAACATTTAAAATAATTTCTTTCACTTCGATGGTCAAATGGTTTTGTCTTGATCGTTTCCTGGGTGGACTCAATGTAGTTCTCCCTTCATCAGCTGTGTCGGTAGAAGACATGGTAAAAAAACACCAGATATAACAGAACTTATAACAGCGATGCACTCGACGCCACGCCACGGCCTGATTACAACTCTGGTTTTTGTAGACATCAAAGGTCTTAAAAAATATTCGAAACTGCATGTTTTCCAAATTCATGGAGTTTTATATTGGACCCACTTCAGGACATTGTATTTGACAAAAGCATCAGTATGAGGGGCGGAAAGTTTAAAAAAAGAAAAATAAAAGCTACAAAATGAAACTATTAGTTGAAAAAGCAAGCGCTTCAAACTACAACTTCAAACCCTAAAATGCCTGAACTATAATGAGACCCTCTGTGGGAACATCGATCACGCGCTGATCACGCTTCGAGTTTGCGATGTTGTGGTCTCACTTGGGCTGAATTTTTATATATGCAAAACTTAAAAGACATCCCTCGTAACATACCAAATGAACGTGCCATGAAAAAGATGTGTTTTCTCTTTCATATCTACTAGATGTACAAACAAGACCAATATCGAATTTTGAAACATCACTTTTTCCCAAAGGTGTCCCATAACCACTTAGCAAAAAGCCCAGGACAGCTGAACCGTTTTACGTTGGCTGAATAGTCCCAATGTGACATCTATCATATTTCTCCTAAGAAAGGTTATTAAAGATTTCCATTGCCCAAAAATATTCTAATGTTGTTTTTCAGACTAGCACAAAGAAGGTAATAGCGATAAGAAGGGAGGATCAAAGCGTTTGGGAGAGGAGAGCTTCTTTCTCACCATCACATGTCAAAAAGTTAGTCAGAAATGGTGTCAAGGTTATTGTGCAACCAAGTAACAGAAGGGCATACCCTATGCAGGCCTATCTCAATGCCGGGGCCATCGTCCAAGAAGATATTTCCGAAGCTAACGTCATTTTCGGGGTTAAACAGGTGAGGCAAGAACGGCGCTGTTTGTTTAATTTCTATAAATCATTGCAAATGATACTACTATTAGTCTAATCATATTAGACGAAAATACACCTGGTTTGCGAAATAATTGTAAAGTCTGCAAGTTGATCAGGGGGGTGTTCAAAACTTGAACGAATAAAATGGGTACTCCAATTTTTGTGGGAAAGCTTATTATTAGACAACAAAGAATGAGAAAACATGTTTTTTGGGATTTAATCGAAAGTGTTGGCAGGAACGAGAAAACTCTTCATATAAGATTTTTCGGTATTTATGAGAATTACAGAATGAGACCACACGTAAAAGGATCCGACTAGTAGCAAAAATGTTGTGGCCGGAAAACGAGACAAAATGCAGGTATTGCCGCTTGTTGGTAATGCGGTTTCTAGCAGATATGTGAAATTCTGCAAACTTGCAGAATTCGTACTTCTATATAACCACAACAAAATTGGAGTAGATTGGCCAAGCATTTTGTGAGAATTTCTAATTGTTTATCCCAAAAAACCTGTTTTCCGGACAACACTACTAGCTATTAGCAATTACAGCAGACGCTCGATAACGTAAACACGGGATAATGAAAACTTGCGCTAATGCAAACACAAACTTCGTTCTATAGGATCAAACGGAACGCGCGATAACGTAAACAATGTGTACGTTCGATAACGTAAACAACTCTCGGCGCACGGAAACAGCGCGACGGTAAAATGCTGAAGCCTGGATGATTTATGTCGGGCGTCGGGGAGTCCCCGATTTATGATGATTGTAGAGTGTAGGGGATTCACCTCTGCGATAAAATACGACAAACTCGGTCATTCGTATGATCGTTTAGGATACGTTTATACGTACGTATGTATTTCATTTTTGAACTTAAGTGAATACATTGCACGCGTTAATATATTTTACGACTATGGCATCCACATCCTATAAAAGAAAGTGTTTAAAGTTGAGTGAGAAAGTGAAAATTATAGACGAAGTTGCATTAGGTGCGGGAGTGACACAGTTAGCAAAAAAATATGGAGTATCGAAAGCAACAATCTGTAAAATTAAGCGTATGAAAACTCAAATTTTACAAAGAACGTGCAATACATTTGGAGGTCCGGGAAAAAGAAAAATGGAAAATTCCCTGTATAAGTGGTTTTTAAAACAACGGGAAAATCATGTCCCAGTAAGTGGCGAAGTACTTAAACAGAGAGCAAGACTGTTAAATGAAAAACTGAAAGAAACTGAAAATTTCGTAGCTAGTGATGGCTGGCTACAACGATTCAAAACAAGATATGGAATTCGACTGCTGTCTATATCTGGTGAAAAATTATCAGCACAACCACAATTAGTGCAACCATTCAAAGAAAAATTGATGAAAACAATTACCGAGCTAGATTTAAGAATGGAACAAATTTACAACGCAGATGAAAGTGGCCTTTATTGGAAAATGTTACCAGAGAAAACCTGCTGCATCATTTGAAAAATCTGCCCCGGGAAGAAAGCCGGAGAAACAACGAATAACGTTTCTAGCCTGCACTAATGCTAATGGTTCACACAAAATAAAGCCACTGGAAATTGGGCAAGCAAAAATCCGCGCTCATTTAAAAATGTTAATATCCCTGTTGATTATGACTGTTCAAAAACCGCTTGGATGACTAGCAGTATATTCCTGAAATGGTTCCACAGGTGCTTTGTCCCTCAGGTATGACAATCAATTATCACAAATGCTCTATTCATAATTTGAAGATGTGTGTTCAATTTGTAGGTAAAAGGTTTCCTAAAACAACAGAAGCTTCCAATAAAAGCGTTGTTCCTATTGGATAATGCACCAAGTCATCCTCCCGAGCAACAACTGAGGAGCAGGGATGGGTCAATTTCGTCATGTACATGCCGCCCAACGTAACACCGTTAATTCAACCGATGGACCAGAATACAATAAGACTCACCAAACTATACTATAGGAAGTTTCTACTTTCGTCTGTCTTATCAAAGAATCCTGAAAACTTATCTGAGGCTTTAAAAAAAGTAACATTACGAGAAGCTGTTTTAGATTTACATATGGCCTGGAATGAACTTAACCAGCAAACTATTCAAAAATGTTGGAATAATGAAGATGATGAAGAAGACGATGTCCCCTTAAGCGTAAGTAGAGAACGTTTGCGATCCAATAATGATAATGTTATTAGTGTGTCATTGGATGTTGTTGATTTATTGAAAACAGTGAATCCCAACATTGTTTGTACTCCTGCTGATATTATTTTATGGAACGAAGATAAGCAGATGAATGATGCTGATAAAGAGGAGGTATATGGACAGGATGATGAGAACGATCCCATTGAAGTCAGAAGTGTAGTGACTGACGCGCAAGTTGTACAAGTTTTTAACCAAGCTTTAGACTGGGCTGAAAGAAAAGAAGTTTCATACACGGATATTTTAGTTCTTCGTAAATTACGGGCGCAGGCATTGGAAGACAATGCTAAGCGCAAATTTACGCAGACAAAAATTGTTAATTATTTTTCTTCTAATTAAAAAAATACTTATCGCTGTTAGAATATTTGTTTATTTTGTTATAAATAGTATGTATTAAACGTTTCTTTTAATAAATCAAATATTATATAAATCACGTTCGCTAATGTAAACATTTCGATAATGTGAACCACACTTGGATTAAATTAGTTTAAATTATCGAGCGTCTGCTGTATTTGTTTGTGCTATGTTTGTTTGCATGTATGCTAACTGGGTTCTAGACCATAGCAAACTTTTGCCTAAGTGCATATGAAAAAAAAACATAAATGTTTTTTGAAGGTACCTCTGGAGCACCTGATACCGGAGAAAACATACTGCATATTTTCACACACGATCAAGGCGCAAGAGGGAAATATGCCTATGTTAGATGCGATATTGGAAAAAGAATTAGACTTATTGATTACGAGAAGCTGATGGATGAGAAAGGTATTTATTTTTTATAATTCCATGGAACAATTGCTTATTCCAATCAGATGGCGGAGACCATTTAAGATGTCTCAATTTCTATTTCTTTTTAATGTGCAACATGAAATTAAAAGATCAAATTCTAATGTTGGTTTGATCATGTATCGCCTGGTGCTCTTAAAATTCGTAATAAACAATTTCTAAAAACGCCCCACTTTTAGGAAACCGTGTAGTTGCTTTTGGTAAGATGGCAGGAATAGCCGGCATTGTCAACATTCTGCATGGACTTGGGCTTAGACTACTGGCTCTAGGACATCACACACCTTTCATGCATATTGGACCCCCGCATAATTATAGGTAAATATATTCATTAGTCAAAAGTGAAACACTTATTATAGCTCAGAAATGATCTAAGTATCTTTATTGTAACAACTTAAGATTGTATTAGGGTGTCACAGCCGAAGGGCAAACAAATTTTTGTTCGAATTGAGACACGCATATCCTCTAATTTTTTTCCATAAGGAGCCCTTTTAGCGAAGTTGAGAATCGCCTTGAGTCCAAGCTCCTTCACGTCCTGAGGGTCCAAAGTAATGGACCCCAGTATAGTCTGCCTATAGTATACTAAGTGACATATAAATCCGAACACCCAGTTTAAATGGTTTTATTTTAATAAAATTTTGTATAAGTACTTAATGAAGCATAATAAGTAAATGATAAAAATTTCAAAATGATTACACTGCTTTAAAGCCCTTTGACCTTTAATAATGTGTGGATGCACCCTGATGTGCTACGCATTCTCCAACGCGCCTAGGCATGCTTCTGATCAGGTGGTCAATGTCCTCCTGTGGTATCTCATTCCAGGCAACCACCAACTCCTCTCGAAGTGCTTCTAGAGTCTGAGGAGGACGTTGCAAATTGAGCAATCTCCTACCCATCATATACCACACGTGCTCAATTGGGGATAAGTCGGGAGATCTTGGTGGCCATGGTAACAATGTGACATCATTATGTTGAAAGAAGTCTATTGTGACTCTTGCAACATGTGGTCGGACATTATCTTGTTGGAAAGTTGGACATGCCAGGGTGTCAAGACAGGGTACAAGATGGGGTTCTAGAAGTTCGTGGATATAACGCTGCGCGTTCATGTTACCTCTGATGAAGATTAAAAGTGACCTGGAACGATAAGCTATAGCACCCCAAACCATAACTCCAACAGTGTGATGAACATGTTTTTCAACAAAAAACTGTGGATTCCTCCTTTCACCACGTCGCCTTCTAACCCTGGCACGATCATCGTGCATGCCTAAACAAAATCGAGACTCGTCACTAAAGACAATACTGTTCCATTCCTGATCCCAGAGTGACCGTTGTCTGCACCACTCAAGGCGATTACGTCGGTGTTCTCGAGTTAAAGGGAGGACCCAGTGTGGCCGGTATGAAAACAAGCCAAAACTTCTCATTCGTCGGTGAACACTTCGCATGCCAATAGGTCTTCCGTGTTCTGCAAACCATTCATTTGCAATGGACCTGGTAGTGGAGAAACGGTCCCTTAAGGCCAATAATCTTAGGCGGCGATCTTCACGGTCTGTTGTTCTACGGCGGCGTCCAGTGCCCCTTGCTCTTTGCGTACGGCCTTCTCGAAGCCATGCCTGACAACACCTAACCACAGTGTCTGCACTTCTTTGCACTCTAACTGCAATTGCCCGAAAAGAAAGTCCAGCTTCCCGAAGTCCCACTATACGGCCCCTATCAAACTCACTAAGTTGACGAAATCGTACAGGTCTCCGTACTCTAGGCATCGTAACCGGTCGTAAAGGATGTCAAGAACCAAAATCCGCCAACGATGATTCTTTACTGCGGCTGAAATATTCATTTTTAGAGCGTTAGTGAATTAAAAAAAGCAGTATAAAAACCGGAATGTCCAACTGATAAGGCTGAAAATTTTTTCACTTGTTATTCACAGTAAGATAAATATATTCGCCAACTTTTATTAAAATAAAACCATTTAAACTGGGTGTTCGGATTTATATGTCACTTAGTATATAAACATGAATTCTATTAATTTACATGAAAAATATAGTTATTATCGTTATTGTATCGTTCGAGAAAGTAAAAACACATCAATAAAGACCTCATGAAAGAATACCTTATGTTTTTTTTTAAATCGGACTTATACAGGGTGTCCGCAAAGTTGGGGTTTTCCTTTTCAGACACAGCTGCGCTTGATATAACAAAGCTAATGTGTGGTGAAACGTGAGCGAACAAGTAAAAATAAGTAAATGAAAAAGTACTCACTGTTCAGTTTAATTGAAATTCCAAGTACGGCTCTGTCGTAATATTATTTACATCATAGACGTATGGTATATCTGAAGTCACTTGAAATAGCATGAAAACCTTTGGTCGGCGCGTCCTTTGTAATTTCATGACGTATCATAGGCGTGCGGTCATTTATTTAGAACGATAATAATAATGTTTTTATATCACAATAAATGGATTTTACTATCTTCTTATTTTTTTGATATGGGATAAAAAATACTTATATTGGGAGTTTAATTTATGTTGACTGAAAGTTAAGAAATGGAAAAATTACAGAATTCCAACGTTTGACATAGGCAAATATTTACATAGCAGGTAGGTATATAAAAAGGTATATAAAGACTTACATTATAGGTATTTATATATCATCCTCGCCTTCGGAGCTGTCGCTAGAGTCATCTTGTAGAGGAATTACAACGGGATTTACAGGAGGCAAAACACAATATTCATTTTTTCTTCTTTTTCAATAATATGCCTAGAACACTGCTTCCATAGGTCTGTGGCAGCAATATGAGATACTGCATCTCTTATTGTGGCCAATAGCGATTCACTTAATTGAGGGGTCTGATTATGTTTTCTTACTTTTTTTTTAAAGCAGCCCAGACCAACTCAATCGGGTTAAAAATGCAGTAATAGGGAGGTAGACGTAATACTTCATGGCCATTTTGCTGAAGCAGATTGTCAACAACATACTCTTTTTCAAATTTTTGTCTTTTAATAAGATCCAATAATATGGCTTTGGTTGATTTTTGTGGTATTTCCATTCCCTTATCCTTGTTCAGCTTATGCCGACGACACCAAGATTTACAATACTGTCGTAAATTCTGCTATGCTTCAACGAGATCTTGATATTGTTTGTCAATGGTCAGTCAGTTGGCTTTTACCCTTAAATCTAACTAAGTGTTGTGTCCTTCACCTCGGGAAGACAAATCCGCGATTTACATACAAGATCTCTGACCACAACATCGAAGCAGTTTCCAGCCACACTGATCTGGGCGTTGTAGTCAACGATCGTCTTTCCTGGTCAGAGCATATTCACCACGTTACATCAAAAGCCAAGAAACTTCTATACATGCTGGAGAGGTCTTTCAAAGGATTCGATGTCAACACTTGCGCCTACATTTACAAGGCATTCGTGAGGCCAATTCTTGAATTCGCTGGCCCGGTATGGGACACTGTGCTTCTGCGCGATAGAAATCTCGTCGAATCAGTACAGCGTCGGGCTACTCGTATCCCTTTTGGAGCACGAAGACAAAGCTATGAAGATCGCCTTGAATTATTCAACCTGACCTCATTCTCTGAGCGAAGACTTCGTGGCGATCTTATAGTTACGTTCAGGATACTTCATGGTTTGATGGGCACCAACCTCATGCATCTATACCGTCTGTCGCGCAGCAATCTACGCGGACACAGCTTCAAACTGCATAAGGAGCCATTTAAAACAACAGTCCGACAGTGGTTTCTTCCCAACCGCATATTCAACACCTGGAATAGTTTACCTGAAAGTGTGGTTGGTGCTACTTCAGTTAATAGCTTCAAAGTTCAGTATGATAGCTGGAGGAGTGTACAAACTTTATAGCTATGAACTGTCTTTTTTTATTTTTTCTATTTGATGTATTTGTGTTACGTGTCCGTACACTATATTTACTGCATGAGCTTATAGTACTGTGTACTCTGCTCACCTCAATTATCATAATAATAATAATAATAAGTTCCAAGTATCAATAGAAGATTAAGATGAAAAAAATTTTTCATTTCACAAATATTCAAGATACAAAGTCAGTTACATATCGACCACCCTGTATAGCATAACAATGTTCAAGATGCAAAAATTAGGCACAGCCTTATATTGAGAGTGTCTAACAATATTTAAGGGTTTTTGAATTCTTGAAACCAAATGGATTGATACGAACTTTTCTACCAAAAGACTTGGCTTTTAAAGGGATAACAGCAACCATATAATGCGAATTTTAATTGTAGGAACTCCAGCATGGCTCGACAAGCAGTTAGAGATGCAGGCTACGAGATAGCACTAGGTTTAATGCCCAAATCCATTGGACCATTAACATTTGTATTCACTGGATCTGGAAATGTATCTCAAGGTTCCCAAGAAGTATTCCAGGAGCTGCCTCACGAATACGTTCCACCTGAGTTGCTAAAAAAAGCTGCAGAGCATGGCAGCTTGAATAAGGTGTACGGCTGTGAGGTAAGGCCTGTTAAAAGAGAAATATGCATAAGGTAGTGACTCGTGGAACGTGCTTTTCAGGTGAGGAGAAGGCATTACTTGGAAAGGAAAGAAGGTGGTGGATTCGATTCTGCTGAATATGAAGAACATCCAGAAAGGTAATTTTTCAAACCTATAATAGACAAATGTCGTAAATGACATCTAGGATTTAAAAATATCCCCGATTTTAGAACATTGTCTCTAATAATGAAACCTAGCCGCGACTCTCTTCCCAAATCTCGGCACGAAAAACGCTCGTCTTATTTGAATAAGTCAATAAGCAATTTTATTCATCACGTCTTCTATAACCAATAATTGAAATCGCAGACGCTAAATGGATTATTCACTATCTATACCCTATTCGTAGTCCACTTATGCCCCGGCACAACAAAGATGCAGCGCGGCAAAGCGGCAGCCGCCTAAACGTTGCAATAGCTATTGCAGGATTCGACAGGATAGTACTCAGGCTCGGGGTATCAATAAAGAAATATCGCGACCAGGGCGCAGTACAATTAAATCAGCAAGTCAATTCTTCTTAGATGGACTAACCACTGGCCTAAAAAACCCGTCAGGTACGTGTATCTAAGCAATTCGTCATTTGTGTTGTAAAAATGTTGTCAAGTAGACTGAATCTATGAGGCCACGCCCACTTAGCTACACCTGTTAGATACTCTGCTCGCATTATTATTGGTTTTCTTGAATACTATACGAAATAATTACTCCTAGGAAAAGAAAAACAATTTGTTATCTGCCACATTGGCATTGAAGATGGCTTTGTGCCCACTGCCCTATGGGAATTTGAGTCAAAGAAAACGACCGACTACCATTATGATATGGACGGGAGTTCATGTGAACGATGGTATGAAGAAACGCTCCCAATGCTGCATACCACACTAGAAAACTAGAAAAAATTCCCACAATATCCACAAGAAAGGCCCCTTATAACTGAGAATTAAATCCCATTGAAATGATTTGGGTAAATATAAGAAACTATGTGACTTCAAGCGATAGAACATTCAAATTTTCTGACGTGAAAAATTTGTTTTATGAACCTGTCAACAGAGTGACGGCAAACCATTGAAAAGATTGCATCCGTCACGTTCAAGAGACAATCGAATCGAAGATGTGGGATCTGGACAATATGATCGATATTCAAATTGTTACCTGTAATAATTAATATTAACCATTCGGACGATGATTCAAGTACGAATAAAGAATTGTGAAAAGTATGTGCACTTCTTTCTATAAACATAATCATTTATTTTGTTAGATTATTTCAAGACCATTGAGGAAAATACGGACCTGTACAATCTCGCTTTTGGGCATGTTATGTTTTGTCTAGGCGTAATTGGACTACGAATGGGGTATAGACAAAATTGCATTGTTAATAGTTGAAACAAGTTGTATGTTGTTTGAAATTTGATGACCATGTGGATGATCGATATGCTGTTCCGATTATCTATAAGGTTTTTTGATTCACGACATTTCGATTGATGTGATCTTCAGTCGCCATCAGCGGATCTGGCGAACATGCTCCTTTCTCGACCATTTATACCGTTGAATGACGTGGGGCCGGTGGTTGGTTGTGACGTGACCCGCGTTCGGGGTCTGTTGAGTAGCAGTTATTTGATGCTTCTTACAATTGGTTGTCATGCTTAAATTCAACACTGAATACTGTAAGCATTTTGATTCATTATTGTGGAGGCTGCTCTCTTGAATTTTCTCCGATGCCAGTGTGTTTCTTTGTGTAAAATCATAGCATGATCCCAAAGAATACTGAGGTGCTCAGACCAAGCGTGATCTGCTATTCCAGATTTATTCATTTCTCCCCGTTCCTTATTGGATTTATGCTGTTATATTCTTACTGAAACTGGTCTTTTTGTTTCTCCTATATACAGGGTGGCACATCCATGCGTGGACGGAATATTACACATAAACAAATACATTTTGGGAATATCTATTTATGGCATTTTATACATGACATTTGAGGGCATATTTCTAAAATATTGGCAGTTATACAGGGTGTCCCAATTTTGAGCTACAAATCAAAGTTGTGATTTTTCAAATGGAATGCCTCAAATTGTGTTGCATATTTGCATAAACCAGTTCAAAAGAAGAAGATTGATATATCATACTATGGGGTTTTGTTAATTAGCTACTGAGATGTAAGGTGTTTTGTCCAGAAAAAACGTCCACTTCGGCAACCCCTCAATCCGCCATTTTGAAATTTGGAGTGCTGAATTTTGTATAAAAAAAACTTACACTCCTCAGCGTTTATGTTATTTGTTACTTTTTCGAATTTTTAATCAACAACTATATCGACAGACGTGCTGTTGGTGGCTACTTTGCACTCATGGACATGTCTCAACATGCAGTAACATGCAACCTCCTGCGTCCGTTTATTAACTCAAATTGTAAAACTTCTATAGTACCCTTGTTTTATATTAATATTTTTGTTAGGAGTTAAGTGGTAAAATAGCTATAACACTGCCCAAAATAAAGGCGATTTACTATTATTATTATTATTACTATTATATGGATTTTTCAAACTCGGATTTCAGATATATTTCAACATTCAGCAAAAAGATCGCCCCATATGCATCAGTGATAGTGAACGGAATTTACTGGGCTCCAAATAGTCCTAAGCTATTGACCATACCTGACGCAAAGTATTTGCTGAGACCAGCAATAACTCCTTGGCTACCTACATCCGTTGGGGCACCAGCGTTACCTCATAGAATGTTGGCCATTTGTGATATTTCCGCAGATCCAGGTAATTTATTATTCGATTATTGATTTACGGAATCTGCTCAAAATGTTTGTCTTCGTGTAGAAGTCGACGCTCCACCTGCTCGTAGACTATCGTACTCTTTCAAATATATCGGAATTGTTTCTTCTAATTGAGCTACTTCCAGAAATTATACGACTTACGTTAGAGTTGTGAGAAACCTCGGGTCTCTAACTCTAAATCATGCAAAACATTACTCTAAATAACCTTAGAGAATTGTTTTCTACAAGATGTTGTATACTTGTTGTGTACTCGTTCCGTAGCTGTACGTGTTGCCTATGCGACACTATGCTTCAGCTATCAATGTTTGGGTCTGATATGATGTAACATCTGCTTCAGAGATGGCATTACTGGAGGTCTAAGCTGTAAGTTATACAGGGTGACTTTGAAGTTGAGTCATTAATTTTCAGATAATGATTGTAGAAGGAAAATATGTGTGTAAAAATAAAAAAAAATGTGACCTTGTTTTATAAAGTATCCTCCCGACAAGTATTTCAGTGCGGACCTGTATTTGATCGTGCGGTCTTGGAGCACCGGCATGTCCTGTGAGGTCTTAAGTCACCTGATTCAAGAGCCCTTTGTACTACATTAACAAAGGCACGAGGGGTGGGTTGCACTCGATTGGGAAACCGATCCGCATAAATCCGTGATGCCGCGGCAGCATTTTGTAAATAAGAATCATGTCCACAAGTTCAGCATTTTCAACACAAACAACTCTATTCACTCACGCGTTACCGACTGACACATTGACTGAATACAACTGAATTGTAGTAAAAACATAAGCGTTTCAAATTATTTCGCTTTTTTGTTTCCGATGCGATGAACCGACAAGGCGGATTATATCCGTTGTTGCCAAACACGAGCACATAATATTATTATTGAGACAGGGTGGTACTCAAACTTCTAAAGGGCTATAACTTTGTGACTTTAATTTTACCAGAAAAATGTTAAAGGAAAAAACATTTCTTTTGATCAGATCTACTCACTGTTAAAATAAATGACTCAACTTCGAAGTTGTATATATATATAAAAGAAATTTTTCGTCGCGAAGTTCTTTAAATGACAAAATAGTCTGGACATAATTCAAAGAATCGCCCCTTGAATTTTTTACCAATATCTCGTGCAAATCATACCTTTTATTTTTCTTCCTCCAGGAGGTTCAATAGAATTTATGAACGAATGCACAACAATAGATACTCCGTTCTGTCTATACGACGCCGACAGAAACAAGGATACCAAAAGCTTCAAAGGTCCTGGTGTACTTGTGTGTAGCATAGACAACATGCCTACACAAATGCCCAGGGAAAGTACAGATTTTTTCGGAGATCTTCTCTTTCCATTTACCCATGATATCCTGCAAAGTAATGCCCAGGAACCGTTGGAACAGCACCACTTTTCACCAGTGGTACACGGAGTAAGTACTATTTACCAGTTGTTTTACGAAAAATTATTCTACCGGATGGCCCAATATTCCGTGGACAAAGAGGTACCACGTATTTTTAGACTCAAAATGAGTCGACTGGACATGATTTACTGTAGCCGCTAGAGGGCGCTCTCTACTGTACCTGTAGTGTATTAAAATGACCGAACATTTTTTCTTAGTGCAATTTTTTGCTTTTTGAATAAAAAAACTGATTTTTCGCACTTTTCAACATAAAAAAGTTCTCTTGTGAGTTTTCGTTATAGTTAGCCGTTTATGATATATTTCGATTTTTAAGGTTCGCTGCGTTTTTAATTAAATATGGGAAAATAATATTTTTTTTTACATTTTCGATTTGGGCATTACAAGTAATTAAGATGATCGTTTAGATCGTGTTTTTAAACACAGCAATAATTCCTAACTCCAAATAAACACAAAAAACAGAATATTAATTTATTTAATTTTCCAATATTATTTTTAACAAATTAAATTAATTATTTACAACTAAAATGCTATTGGATAGTTAGGACAAACATACAAAATCTAAAGTAGTTGCTCGAAATGTAAACCCAATTGTTCAATACACAATTCACATCTATGAATGATCGAACGTGGTATAGCACTATTCAAATAAGGCCTTATTTCATCACATGCATTCCTGATTCTGTCTATTAGCATATCTCTTGTGGTTACGGGAGTCTGATACACTTTTTCTTTTAGAAATCCCCACACAAAGAAATCTAATGGATTTAGGTCAGGGGATCGTGGAGGCCAGGCGACTGGTCCTCCACGGCCGATCCATCTTTCTGGATAATTTTCGTCCAGCCAGTTTCTAACTATTCTCGAATAATGAGCTGGACAACCATCAAGCTAGAACCAGGCCAATCTTCCTAAATCTAACATAACATCATCCCACATATTTGCATGTTCAGCCTTTAAAAATTCCAAGAAGGTCGCAGCATTTAACCTTGCAGACAAAAGGTAGGGTCCAAATAGTCGGTTACGGTAGATACCAATCCACACGTTCACACTAAATTCATGCTGAAAATTTCTTTCCCGAACTGCATGCGGATTTTCATGCGACCAAATATGTTGATTATGAAAATTTACCACTCCACGTCTAGTGAAGCATGACTCATCGGTCCATAAAACGTTACTTAAAAACTCCCTATTATTATCAGTTCTATCAAGAATCCATTGACAAAATGTGATTCTTCGTTTTCCGTCCCCTGGCTGTAGTTCTTGCACAGGTTGCAAATGGTAAGGACGTCTATGGTCATTTCTAAGAACACGGTGAACATGGCGTGCTGAAATTCCCAAAGCACCAGAAACTCTCCTAACACTTGTGGTCGGATCTCTATCAAACTCACGCAGAATCATACGGGTAAATCTGCGCTGACGAACATTTATGTTTTGATCCCTTTGGAGATTTCCAAAACCATTTTCAATTATTTGGCGATGCACTCTTACAAATACTGAGCGAGTTGGATGTCGTCTGTTTTGAAATCTTCGTGCGTATTCTCTGACTGCTTCTGCTGCGTTACCATTTACAAAGCCATACACAAAATGAATATACGCTAACTCTTGATTGGAGAATAAAAATGGCATTTTTATTAAACTTACAAAAAAAAAATAGGTAAAAGAAACTAAATTTCGTGCATTCACAATTGCAAAAAAACGTTTCAGGTATCAACAGACAACAAAACTAACTGTCAACTAATTGACGTTTAACCTTATTCTGCTTTCAATTTCAAAAATATTTGCAGGCACAGCCTACTTCTAAAAATTATCGAGATACTGACTTTTTAACGTTATTTTATCATAAATAATTAAAAATGCATCGAACCTTAAAAATCGAAATATCTCAAAAACGGCTAACTATAACGAAAATTCACAAGAGAGGTTTTTTATGTTGAAAAGTGCGAAGAATCAGTTTTTTTATTCAAAAAGCAAAAAATTGCACCAAAAAATTTTTTTATGTCATTTTAATACACTACAGGTACAGTAGAGAGCGCCCTCTAGCGGCTACAGTAAAACCCATGGTTCGTTTTGTCGTACCAAAAAACCCTTGTATACCAATTTTCACTGTTATACATCAAATATTGTTCGAAATATTTAAAAAAAAAACTATTTTAGAAAGTAAATTTAAACACCCTGTATTTCGGAAGCCACGCATTTTTCGACCCATGTTTATATAGACTTTAAGCATTAATTTTAAAAGTTCTATCGATTCATAAAGTTATGCAACAATAAACTGAAACACCCTGTATATCAAAAATAGGAAAATAATGGGCAAATATAATATATAATAAACTTCAGCAGTCAAAGTCTCTGGGAACTCAAACGGACCGATTATTTTACCATTTAAAATTCCTGTTCAATGGTTTATCTTGAAGCGATATTGAGATTTATCTTCTCTCATCAAATGTGGGTTTGCTAAGTTATGCAGGTTCATGTACCCATCTTTCTTAAATGTGGTCTCATCTGACCATAAAATTTTTTCAAAGAACCGTGGATCTTCCCTGTGTCTTTCTAACATTGTGCGACAAAAACTGTGGATCTTTCCTGTGTCTTTCTAACATTGTGCGACAAAAAGCAACTCGGGGCTCATAATCCCGGGGCAGGAGAGGTTGAACACGCTGTATGTGGTATGGATGAAGCACATCACTTACTTGCTATTGCAAACTTTGATACCGATCAGTACTCCTTCGTTTACTGCGTATCTTTACATGTTCGTGCTTGATTTCGTACTGTTACTAATTTTGGATTCGTCAACTGGACTGTTGATCGCTTGTGATTTGGATTTGGACTGTTTAATTGCTCTTCAAAACAACATTTGCTTTCCTTAGACTATCTTTGATAGTGTGATTGTGCAGTGCCGCTATGTCCGTGTACACCGTTCAAGAATATGCTAACATGCACCTCATTTATGGGGAATGGAGATGCAACGCTAGTGCTGCAGCGAGACTTTACTGTAAGAGGTACCCGAATGCAGCTCGTCATCCAGATCATCGAGTGTTCACAAATGTGCACCGCTTACTGTTCTCAGAGGGCCAACTACCAAACCAATCACACGGTGAGGGAAGATCTTTCCTTCCTTACGAAGGGACCTGGTTGGCCGTCGGGACCTCGGTTGGCCGCGTGGGTCAGAGTGTCGTGCTACTGATCAGCCGGCCGGCCGGGCCGCGAGTTCGAATCTCGCCTTCGCCATGGATGTTGTGTGTTTGTTTTAGGCAGCAGCGGTGGCCGCAGTAGTAGACTCTTCGGTCTCCTGATCAGTCGCCGTGCGCTGTGCGGGTTCGAGTCCCGTCCCAGGAGAAATTTTTCTCTTGGCCATGGATGTTGTGATTGTCCGTAGGTGGTAGATGGTCTCTGACTGTCGAACGCGGAGGTACCACCCGGCGGTTCTCGTAGGCGAAGCCAGAATGTGTGCATGTTGCATGCACACGTGTTCCCTCGCCAGAGTCCGTGTGGCGTCCCCCCTTTCCCATGTATCCCCCTATAGCCCCACGGTACCCAATGGGTGCTTAGGCCTTAGGCCTTCGTGGTAGTTGGAGTATAAAAAAAAAGATACACATGCCCATACATCGGGATACGGGTGTAACCTGAGGAAACGAAGATGTAGAGGAAAAAAAAGACACACGAAGTCCACAACAAGAGCCAACCTACACATTGTATCATAAAATGGCTAGAAGACCTCGAATTTTCAAGGCGACAAATAACCACAACCACGCGAATCCACTTTTTGCGGATTTTACCCATTATTTTCCTATTTTTTTTATATACCTTTCTCCGCATGATACTTTTCTCTTTGTAGATCCTTTGAGTTTGAAGTACCACAGCAAGTGGCTATAACCTAATGTACAAAATAATTCATAAGAATCAATATGCGTTCAAATTACTATATCATATTATGATGACATGCGGCATTATTATAGTATGTAAAATTAAAAATCTCCAATCCGACCGCAGCCAGCAACGATTGCTTTAGCTACTGCTATAATTTGCAATGAGTCTTTGGAAAACTTCAACTTTACATGCAGACCTCGAGCTATAACGTCACGTACTTTTCACTTTGTTATAAAAAATCATTTTCATGAAAAATATTCACTTAATCATGCAGAACTATCGAAAATCATTTTCAATTTTATTTTTCAGGCGATCATTGCGAGTAATGGCCAACTCACACCAAACTATGAGTACATTCAGGAATTGAGGAAATCACAAATGTGAGTGATTTACTACAACTATACGAATATGCTATAAGAAGGACTTAAATAGTTAACATTTCATACTATATTTTTTAAGACCGAACAGTCTCAAACTTCAATTTAAAAATATATGTGCACCACATAGTCACTTTTTGAGGATGCATCGGCTGCTCTTGATACTCACGGGGATTTTCGTTCGCCCAGATGTGGCAGTTTTGCTTGTTTACCGTCCCATTCAAAGTGGAATGCGCTTCGTCGCTGAACATGATTTTTGATGAAAAATTGGCATCAATTTGGCGGTGTTCAAGGAGCCAATCTGAGAACGTTCGGCGCGAAAAATGGTCGGCTCGACGCAGCTCTTGCGTCAATTGGATCTTGTAGGCGTGTACATTCAAATCCTTGTGGAGAATGCGGAGCAAACTGGTTCTCGAAATGCCCAAATCTTGGGATCGACGCGTTGTTGATTGTTTCGGATCGTCTCTCACACTCTTCTTCACAACAGCAATATGTTCCGGTGTGCGAACGCTCCTTGGCCGGACAGAGCCTGGCAGATTTGCCACAGAACCTGTTGCCTCGAATTTGGTTGTTTCGTTTGGGCGGTTGTTGCGACCGAAATATTCACGAACCCCCCCCCCCCTATGTGTTTCTTATTTTTGCACCATTTGAATAACTTTAATGCGGTCTTCAATCGAATACGACTCCATAGCGATCAATGGTAAACATTCAACTAACAAAATGACATGTCGGTGACATAAAACAAAGATGGCGTCTATGTCAAATTGACGTTTACTTTCCTGCGTCCCTATTGGACAACCCTTTATTTCCCTTAGACGGGTGAAAACGCTGTCCGCCATATTTGAGAATATTTCTGCTACGACGTCGTGTTATTTGTAAACAGCAGCATAACCTCTCAAACATATAAATAGGACTTCTACTAGTTTGCATGAAAAATATAGTAATTATCGTCCGAGAATGTAACAACACATTTGCCAGTGCGTCAATTTTCTGCAAATGTGTGCCTTCTGGTTTCACGAATCCAAACTACATGATAGTTGTTGTTCAATAAAAAGAGAAAACTATAACTTTTACGTTGATTGGGAATCTTTTAGAAATACATAAAGAAGAGTGTCATACGGATGACGCGTCTTTGTTTACAATTTGTATGACGCCACATCATGGCCGATAATACAGGGCGTAAACGTTATGGTAGTCAGTACTGAAATGGGTAATAGGGGGAGTGAAAACAGGTCAAAAAGTTCATATGACCCATGGTCCAAAACTCCATAGATTTTTGTCTAAATGGCTTTATAGTTTACAACTTTAAGTGCTTTATATCGACCACAATCTTACTAATTTTTATAATCTAATCTAAAACGTTTTCAAATTGGGTAATTAACAAATAAATGGCATTAAGTTTTTCTAAGTTAAGCCAAAATTTGTAGTCAGTAAGTAAGTAAGTTTCATTAAATTAAATATTTAAAACACACATGACATCAGCGCGTCGGTCTTTGATCACTCTTATCGAACCGGCAATCGATCGCAAACGGTAACAGTGGTTAGTTATCGTTTTGCATAGATAAATTACTTTATCGCTTTGTCGAGCAGAGCATCGGGCGTGTTGTTTTGTTTTTGTTCGCGTACGTCGTCGTGTTTATTTACAATGTTCTCGAATCAAGAATTCGACGACATGTTATTAGTTTACGGTGAAGCTCGACAGAATTCAAATCTTGCAGCTCAAATTTATACGACAGATTTCTCCACCGGGTACACCCAGACAGAAGGACATTTGTGCAAGTATACCAGAGACTTCGAGATACAGAAAGTGTTCAGCCCACTAATATTCGCACTCGTGAAAGACAGGTTACTGGAGAGCAGAAGGAACAAATTTTAAATATCGTGGAAATCAATGCAGATATCAGCACTCGGGAATTAGGCAGCCGCGTAGGACTATCGCGTAACATAGTCCATAGAATCCTACTGGAAAATTTGTAGGCCTTGTTAATATTTGGGCGGGTATTCTTGACGATCAGGTAGTTGGCCCTTTCGAGTTACCCCCAAAGTTGTCAGGAGAAGGATATCTTAGCTTTCTAGCCAATAACCTACCAGAACTTTTGGAACGGATCTTAGATAACATGCCATTACAACGCAGACAGAATTTGTGGTTTCTTCATGACGGGGCACCACCACACATTTTTAGAGGCATCATTCAGTATTTGAATGAACATAATCCAAATCGCTGGATCAGTCGAAATGGTGCTGATCCTCAAAAATGGCCAGCAAGATCTCCTGACCTCAATCCGACGGATATCTGGTATTGGGGAGAACTCAAAGGGATGGTTTATGGGGCTGTTCCAATAACAACTGAAGCACAACTTCGTGAAAAAATGTTTAATGCGGCTGAAATACAATGTTTGTATCAAAATTGAGTTCCGTATTTATAAGTGGATTTTTTTAATACGTTCAATAAACTTTCACACACCAGGCATTGCGGCGTTGCCAGATTTTATTTTACTTTAAAGACGCTTTTCTCTAAAAAAAAAATGCCGTTTTGACCCCCATGTTTTATGAAACTTTTAGCTTCTTTTAACTCCCTCTATCACCCATTTAAATAATGACTATCATAACGTTTACACCCTGTATAATGTTTTCACCGTTTCATATTGAAAATAAGAAGTATATTTGTTTAAATTGGAATATATCCATTTTGCGCTTTTAAAAATTCAAATAGATATATTTCGATTTCCTAAGCCAAATAATGTAATAAAGTACTCATTTATTCTATCAAATTAGAAATGAATCAAGTATTCTCTTATATATTAAACATACACTTTAATTAGACTGACCGATCAACATAGCGTGCCATTACACGATTTCATATAACCTCTATTGTCTATTTCAGGGGGGGGGGGGTAATAATTGTGAGAAGTCTGCTTAAGAAATACTTAAGCGGCCCCCTACAAGACCCCTACATATGAAATGCTGCGCTATTTTCACATATTTTTGTTAGGACTAATCGTATTGACAAAGCAACAATTAGCAATACTGGACAAAGTATACTAAGTGACATATAAATCCGAACACCCAGTTTAAATGGTTTTATTACGTTGGCGGATTTTGGTTCTTGACATCCTTTACGATCGGTTATGATGCCTAGAGTACGGAGACCTGTACGATTTCGTCAACTTAGTGAGTTTGATAGGGGTCGTATAGTGGGACTTCGGGAAGCTGGACTTTCTTTTCGGGCAATTGCAGTTAGAGTGCAAAGAAGTGTAGACACTGTGGTTAGGTGTTGTCAGGCATGGCTTCGAGAAGGCCGTACGCAAAGAACAAGGGGCACTGGACGCCGCCGTAGAACAACAGACCGTGAAGATCGCCGCCTAAGATTATTGGCCTCAAGGGACCGTTTCTCCACTACCAGGTCCATTGCAAATGAATGGTTTGCAGAACACGGAAGACCTATTGGCATGCGAAGTGTTTACCGATGAATGAGAAGTTTTAACTCGAGAACACCGACGTAATCGCCTTGAGTGGTGCAGACAACGGTCACTCTGGGATCAGGAATGGAACAGTATTGTCTTTAGTGACGAGTCTCGATTTTGTTTAGGCATGCACGATGGTCGTGCCAGGGTTAGAAGGCGACGTGGTGGAAGGAGGAATCCACAGTTTTTTGTTGAAAGACATGTTCACACTGTTGGAGTTATGGTTTGGGGTGCTATAGCTTATGGTTCCAGGTCACCTTTAATCTTCATCAGAGGTAACATGAACGCGCAACATTATATCCACGGGGTTCTAGAACCCCATCTTTTACCCTATCTTGACACCCTGGCAGATCCAACTTTCCAACAAGATAATGCCCGACCACATGTTGCAAGAGTCACAATAGACTTCTTTCAACATAATGATGTCACATTGTTACCATGGCCACCAAGATCTCCCGACTTATCCCCAATTGAGCACGTGTGGGATATGATGGGTAGGAGATTGCTCAATTTACAACGTCCTCCTCAGACTCTAGAAGCACTTCGAGAGGAGTTGGTGGTTGCCTGGAATGAGATACCACAGGGGGACATTGACCACTTGATCAGACGCATGCCTAGGCGCGTTGGAGAATGCGTAGCACATCAGGGTGCATCCACACATTATTAAAGGTCAAAGGGATTTAAAGCAGTGCAATCATTTTGAAATTTTTATCATTTACTTATTATGTTTCGTTAAGTACTTATACAAAATTTTATTAAAATAAAACCATTAAAACTGGGTGTTCGGATTTATATGTCACTTAGTATATTTACAGTATTGCTCTTTCATCACCTCCTGAAGCATCAATTGACCCTAAAAGGCTTAAAGTCAACATTTTGCCAAGCAAAAAGTAGTGTAAACATTTAGAAAAATCAGTAAAAATCAGTAATAATCATATTTTTCACTTAAAACGCAAAAAAGTCCTTAGTACGATGATTAGTTGTGTCCAGTTAATTATATTCATTTATATTTTCAGAAAAATGAGACACAAAGATTCTTACAAAGGTGACAACACCAAAAATGTTCTCATTGTTGGAGCAGGAAGAGTAGCTGCACCATTGGTGGAATATCTCAATAGAGATAAAACGTTAGGCATAACAGTGGCTTGTGAACAAAGAGAGTTGGGAGATAACTTAGCCCAATCCTACCCTGGTGAGTAAAACTAGATTATACGAGTACAAAGATTCGATTTGTTTGTTTGTTTGTTGAAGATTCATTTAGCTTTAATGCTACAATAAGTTTGTAAGATGCTTAATACTGATCTTTCAAAACCGGGTCGATGTAATTTTTTGTTTGTTTATTTAGCATGCTTGCTACAATTATATTATTTTAAGAAACTACAACAATTACATAACATACAGATATTTAGAAAAACAAAATTTGCTTATCTAAGAATGTTCACTGTCCATGAAATATTCCTTTAATTTTCTTTTAAACATCTTTAAATTACAAGTAGGCTTTATATCATTATTTAGTTTATTAAATTTAAGTAATCCTTTCTGAAATATTGATTTGCTAGTTATATTACTTTTACAATTTTGTTAATGAAAATCTATATTTAGATTTTAATAATTGTGGTAATGATTATTCAATTCTTTGTAGAGTTCCTAATGTTGTGGCGAAAGATGATATTTTATTTTAAATATAAAAATGAGAACCAATTTATATCAATATTCAATCACTGCAATTCTTGTAACAGATTTTATTTGAACGTATTATTATTCAATATTATTCTCATAGCTGAATTTTTCAGAACTTGTAATTTTGAGAATACAGCTTCATTCACAGTGAACAGTATAGTAAAGGCGATAGAATAATTGTATTATAAGCTTTTTTTGAATATGTACTAAGTCTATGAGAAGCCCTATAAAAGTAATTTCTTTTTTGGTAATTTTAATTTTAATATACAGGGTGACTTTGAAGTTGAGTCATTAATTTTCAGATAATGATTGTAGAAGGAAGATAAACCAAAATATGTGTGTAAAAATAAAAAAAATTAAAAAAAAATTTGCCTTGTTTTATAAAGTGTCCTCCTGACAAGTATTTCAGTGCGGACCTGTATTTGATCGTGAGGTTGGAGCACCGGCATGCCGTCCCCTGTGAGGTCTTAAGTCACCTGATTCACGAGCCCGTTGTACTACATTAACAAAGGCACGAGGGGTTGGTTGCACTCGATTGGGAAACCAATCCGCATAAACATGTGCCATTTTTTATTTCGTTTGAGCCACGCAACAGACACCACTATTCACTCACGCGTTACCGACTGACACTGACTGTATACAACTGAATAGAATAATTGTAAAAACATCGTTCCACATAATATTATTATTGAGACAGGGCGGTACTCAAACTTCCAAAGGGCTATAACTTTGTTACTTTAATTTTACCAGAAAAATGGTAAAGGAAAAAACATTTATTTTGATCAGATCTACTCACTGTTAAAATAAATGACTCAACTTTGAAGTACACATATACCTAAATATTCATTTGATTTAACATTTTCAATTATTTCACCATTTATTTAGGTATTTCCCGATTTGCATACATGTTGTTTCAGAAGAATTCAATTTTACATACTTTATTTACATTTAACCAATTTGTGATTATTGCCAAGTCAGATTTAGCATTTTAAAGCAGCGTCATCTGATATGTATATGAACGTACCATCTGCAAATATCTGAATTTTACAATAATCTAAAATACTTATTACAAATGTCATTAATGAATAAAATAAATAGTACTGGGCCTAGTTTACTAACTTATGGTACACCAACAGAAATATGTTCTGAGCTTGATAATGTGAATCCAATATTGGTCTTTTGACTTCTGTCAATTAAGTAGTTTTGTAGAATTTTGAATACATACTCTTTAAATCCCTAGTGATGCAATTTTGTAAGTAATTTATCCCTGTCAATAGTCTCAAACGCCCTTTTGAAGTCCAAAAACACTGTTACTGTATGTTTCCTATTGTCTATACATCTCCTTCAGCCCTCAAGAACCATTTGTATTGCCGTTTCAGTTGCGTGTTTCTTCCTGAATCCAGCTTGAAATTTGATTGAAGTTTTATTTCCTTGAATATTTATGGCCGCATATTGGTGTACAACTCAGAATTCTTAACTTTCGGGATAAGAGTTATGGTAGAACATTTTAGTTCTGTTGGAAATTCGCCATACTTTAGAGAGTTATTTATATATAATTCTTGCTCCAATAATAACAAAACATTCATTAACCACCATTTTAGACAAAACCTTACTCTTATTTTAATTTAATTTCAATTTCAATTTTGGTATAATCACTAATGTTTATTGTAATAAACTCACTAAATGATGCATTAAAATCTGATTTAATGGGATTGGGATTACGCAATAAATAGTAAACAAATCCTCGCTCAGGAAATACACCCGTACTCTTAAAATGCGTACATTTCAAAAATGTTCCCTGAACAGGTTCGATCTTAATAATATGGGTCTCATAGTGTGCGTACTAAATCAAGTCACCATCATACTCTAACTTGCTGAGTACATAATTTTTATATACAGGGTGGCGCATCGAAAACGAAACAGACGCATTTACTGGCACCTCAGTTTTTATTTGGAAAAACGGTCAGACCCGTCGATTTTGTTTTCGAGGGGGACACAAGTTTGCCAAAAAATCACGTTAACACATGCAGCCCCCTGGGCAGGGGTGTCACCAACCCTAAAATCTTAAATGGAAAGGGGGGTCGAGTGATACCTTATTTATTGATTTATTGATTTAAAGTTTAAAATAGACTTTAATAGGTACACCAGATTAGTTTGTACTACTTTCAGAAGAAATTTGGCTAAAAGAATTTACTTAATAAGTAAATGCTTTTCATCACTACGCCCATGGTTTGTTTATCATTTTGTTGTTGAAAATAGCTATTGGAGCGTTTTTTTTGTGGCAAAACAGTTATTTCTTGAAGAAAGATAAGGAAATATCTCGTACTTATTTTAAATAGGAATTTAGTACATAGTTTGCGATTGATTTGACCAAACTTTGTTGCTAAAATAACTTGTAACGCTTTATTACATAAATTAACCATGGTATGTTCCACGGTAGAAAGAGTTGAAACTATCGAAATATTTTTCGGAAATAATCAGTGCGCTAATAGAACAGCAGAAATACAGCAGACGCTCGATAACGTAAACTCGGGATAATGAAAACTAGCGCTAATGTAAACACAGACTTCGTTCTATAGGATCAAACGGAACGCGCGATAACGTAAACAATGTGTACGCTCGATAACGTAAACAACTCTCGGCACACGGAAACAGCGCGACGGTAAAATGCTGAAGCCTCGATGATTTATGTCGGGCGTCGGGGAGTCCCCGATTTATGATGTAGAGTGTAGGGGATTCACCTCTGCGATAAAATACGACAAACTCGGTCAGTGGTATGATCGTTTAGGATACGTTTATACGTACGTATGTATTTCATTTTTGAGCTTAAGTGAAGACATTGCACGCGTTAATATATTTTACGACTATGGCATCCACATCCTATAAAAGAAAGTGTTTAAAGTTGAGTGAGAAAGTAAAAATCATAGACGAAGTTGCACTAGGTGCGGGAGTGACACAGTTAGCAAAAAAATATGGAGTATCGAAAGCAACAATCTGTAAAATTAAGCGTATGAAAACTCAAGTTTTACAAAGAACGTGCAATACATTTGGAGGTCCGGGAAAAAGAAAAACTTTAAAAAATGCGAAGGCACCTAAAATGGAAAATTCCCTGTATAAATGGTTTTTAAAACAACGGGAAAATCATGCCCCAGTTAGTGGCGAAGTACTTAAACAGAGAGCGAGACTGTTAAATGAAAAACTGAAAGAAACTGAAAATTTCGCAGCTAGTGATAGCTGGCTACAACGATTCAAAACAAGATATGGAATTCGACTGCTGTCTATATCTGGTGAAAAATTATCAGCACAACCACAATTAGTGCAACCATTCAAAGAAAAATTGATGAAAACAATTACCGAGCTAGATTTAAGAATGGAACAAATTTACAACGCAGATGAAAGTGGCCTCTATTGGAAAATGTTACCAGAGAAAACCTATGCTGCATCATTTGAAAAATCTGCCCCGGGAAGAAAGCCGGAGAAACAACGAATAACGTTTCTAGCCTGCACTAATGCTAATGGTTCACACAAAATAAAGCCACTGGTAATTGGGAAAGCAAAATATCCGCGCTCATTTAAAAATGTTAATATCCCTGTTGATTATGACTGTTCAAAAACCGCTTGGATGACTAGCAGTGTATTCCTGAAATGGTTCCACAGGTGCTTTGTCCCTCAGGTATGACAATCAACTATCACAAATGCTCTATTCATAATTTGAAGATGTGTTTTCAATTTGTAGGTAAAAGGTTTCCTAAAACAACAGATGCTTCCAATAAAAGCGTTGTTACTATTGGATAATGCACCAAGTCATCCTCCCGAGCAACAGCTGAGGAGCAGGGATGGGTCAATTTTCGTCATGTACATGCCGCCCAACGTAACACCGTTAATTCAACCGATGAACCAGAATACAATAAGGCTCACCAAACTATACTATAGGAAGTTTCTACTTTCGTCTGTCTTATCAAAGAATCCTGAAAACTTATCTGAGGCTTTAAAAAAAGTAACATTACGAGAAGCTGTTTTAGATTTACATATGGCCTGGAATGAACTTAACCAGCAAACTATTCAAAAATGTTGGAACAATCTCTTTTGTACCAATAATGAAGATGATGAAGAAGACAATGTCCCCTTAAGCGTAATTAGAGAATGTTTGCGATCCAATAATGATAATGTTATTAGTGTGTCATTAGATGTTGTTGATTTATTGAAAACAGTGAATCCCAACATTGTTTGTACTCCTGCTGATATTAATTTATGGAACGAAGATAAGCAGACGAATGATGCTGATAAGGAGGAGGATATGGACAGTGAGGATGATGAGAACGATCCCATTGAAGTCAGAAGTGTAGTGACTGACGCGCAAGCTATACAAGTATTTAACCAAGCTTTAGATTGGGCTGAAAGAAAAGAAGTTTCATACACGGATATTTTAGTTCTTCGTAAATTACGGGCGCAGGCATTGGAAGACAATGCTAAGCGCAAATTTACGCAGACAAAAATTGTTAATTATTTTTCTTCTAATTAAAAAAATACTTATCGCTGTTAGAATATTTGTTTATTTTGTTATAAATAGTATGTATTAAACGTTTCTTTTAATAAATCAAATATTATATAAATCGCGTTCGCTAATGTAAACATTTTGATAATGTGAACCACACTTGGATTAAATTAGTTTACATTATCGAGCGTCTAATGAGCGACATGAGAACAGTAACGTGCATCGAAAATATGTTCTAGAACCTGTAGTTAAATTTCGGGAAACTGGGTCAGTCGCCAATGAAAAACGCAACATTGAAAATCCCATAAGGAACGAAGCAATAGAAGTGGGGGTTTTAGGGCAAGTTTATGTAGATCCTACGTTAAGTACCCGCAAATTGCAGACTGTGTGTGGTATTAATTGACGTGCTGTCCAACGGATTCTAAAGGCCCATAGTTTTCATCCGTATAAAATTCACCTTTTACAAGAACTTAATGAAGACGATTTTGATCGGCGATTACAATTTTGTGAAGATATGTTTGTTGTTGAAAATAGCTATTGGGCGTAGTGATGAAAAGCATTTACTTATTAAGTAAATTCTTTTAGCCAAATTTCTTCTGAAAGTAGTACAAACTAATCTGGTGTACCTATTAAAGTTACTTTAAGCTTTAAATCAGTAAATCTTCAAAACTACTGAACTGAAGTACATTAATTTTATATCATTATAAAGGGAATTGAAATACCTTTAAAATAAGGTATCAGTCGACCCCCCCCCCCTTTCCATTTAAGATTTTGGGGGTGGTGTCACCCCCGCTTACGGGGCTGCACGTGTTAACGTGATTTTTGCCAAACTTGTGTCCCCCTCGAAAACAAAATCGACGGGTCTGAGCGAAGCAGTGGGCAGAAAAAAACATTTCTTGATCGAAAAGAATTCCTATCTTCCCACGACAACATTAAAAAATTGAAATATCCTTTTTTCTTGTTCGTAAAGACTTCTTTCAAAGCTACATAGCAAAAATTCAATGTATATAATCATAATCTAGACACTCATTTCCAATCTTGATTGTTGCAGGAATTGAAAGTGTTTATTTGAATGCTGCTGACAACCACGCTGCTCTACAAGAGCTTGTGAGTAGACACAACGTCGTTGTGTCCATCTTACCAGCGGACTTGCATTCTACAGTAGCAAAGGCTTGCATAAATGCCAAAGTACACATGGTCACCGCCAGTTATATGGCCAACGAAATTAAAGATCTACATCAAGCTGCAGCACAAGCTGGAGTTACTATCTTGAATGAAGTTGGGCTGGATCCAGGTAAGCCAACCGCATGGAAAGATATTTTGAAATTAAGAAATAGTCTTGGCCGATATGTAACTGACTGGTTTGTATCTTGAATATTCGCGAAATGACATAAAATACGTCCATTTTTTTCATCTCAATTTTTAAAAACTTATCTCTATATCTCAAAAACGGTGACACTTTTAAATAGGTAAGTTTTTGTTATTTGGGAATTCAGTCCAAAGCCTATCTTCTCCTTAAGTTTGTCGTGGCACTTTTTGGACACCCTGTATACCAGTATTGTGACTTGTGACAAATCTAAGTCTGAGTAATATATTAGCTATACAGATTGCACCGAGTCCTCCTAGTGTGTACTAAGCTTAAGAATTAATACTCTGAACGGTCCATTAAATAAATCAAGTAATTGGTGCAAATACTGACACAATCAAGCACTTCTATTATACAAAAATCACATCGTCTAAATGCAATCCATTACGATCACGGCACTCATATAAACGACGTCTAAAATTGTCGATGACTGCGCGGCAAGTCAACACTGTAATGCTTGCCATTTCTCTTCGGATATTTTCTTTCAGGACATCAACTGATCGCGGAGTGGTGTCGTACACTTTACTCTTGAGGTAGCCCCATAAAAAGAAGTCCATTGGGGTCAAATCTGGACTACGTGGTGGCCAGGAAATGTCTCCTCTTCGAGAAATTACTTTGCTGGGAAAAAGTTGACAGACGACAGGCATAGAAGTGTTGTAGGTGTGGGCAGTTGCTCCGTCTTGTTGAAACCAGGTCTGCGTATTATAGCCTGGAAAATTCTGCAACGCTGTTGTCAAAAACTCTTCTATCATTGCTACATACCGCTCCGAAGTAACAGTTAATGCGCGACCTCTGTCGTCCTCAAAAAAATAAGGGCCTGCGATGCCATGCGCTGACATAGCAGCCCAAACTGTAACTTTAGGGCTGTGGAAGGGCTTCTGATGCTTACGCCTTGGATTTTCGGGGCTCCAATAACGGCAATTTTTATTTACATGCCCGTTTAAATGGAAGTGAGCCTCGTCCGAGAACAACACATTATTGAGCGAAGAAAATCGATTCAACATTTCATTCGCAAAGTTTAGTCTCTGAATAGCGTCATTATCTTTTAATTCCTGCACTAACTGAATTTTGTAAGCGTGCAGACGTAAATCTTTCCTTAAAATCAGCTGTAAAGATGTTCTGGGTACGTTTAGTGCACTGGAACGCTTACGAGTAGACTGGGTAGGATTTTGACGAACAGACTGTGCCACAATGTTGATGTTTTCTTCAATACGAGTTGTCCTTGGTCGACCCCACCGCTGTTTATCTAACGTCGAACCAGTCTCTTCGAACTTAGCAACCCAGTTCTTAATCGTTTGAGCTGTTGGACACTTTGTAAAATTGTGTAAATTGTGGTATTCTCAATCTTTACGCCGCGCAATGGTTGCCGAATCATTATTTTGATAAAACGCGTGCACACAAAAAGCACGATCCGCTCCAGTGAAACACTCCATGGCGACTGAATTCCCAGACACTGAAGATACTGCCCCCACCTCGCCCGCGCCGCTCACGCTCACCCGTTAAATTTTATTCAAATTTGAAATTTCAAAGGACTTATGGACCACCCTGATCAGCGGGTGATAAAAATATCAATATGTACGAGCCCCTTTCCACTTCAGTTGGCCCACTTCAAGATTTGTACCAAAATATGCCTTTATAAACTAAACATGACGAAACTATTTACTTCTAAAACAATTTATTTTCTCAAAAACATTTTAGATACACTCTAGTCGTAAAAAATACATATTTGAAATCACTTAGACCTATAACTAATAGAACATCCGAACAATGTGCGATTAAATGCGCGAGGTTAACAAAGCAACAATTGAAAGACTACCATTGGGTAACATCACCTTTATATTTTTTATTACGGCTGAAATTCTTTGGGGCATAGTGTTAACCAAGTTTTGGCAAAAATTTGGTGTAAAACAATCCCATATTTCTTGAAGCTTTTGTCTCAGTTCGGTGATTGTACGAGCAGGATGTTGTTGTAGAACCTTTTTCATATCGTGCCACAAAGTTTCAATAGGTGACAGATCTGGACTGCTAGAAACCCATTTCAAAAGTGGTACATTATTTTCTTCCATCCATTTTATAGCCTTTTTTGAGGTATGGCACGCTGCACCATCTTGCTGAAACACAAAATCTTGGCCGGATATCAAACATTCTTCTATCACTGGTAAATGCGATTCTTCTAAAATTGCCAAATATTTGTTTGTATCCACATTTCCATCAATAAAATGAAGTTTTCCTACTCCTTTTGATGACATACTGCCCCAGACCATAATGGGTGCTGGAAATTTCAATTTTCTCTTCAGACAGTCATCATGGAATGCTTCTTTTTTTTGCGAATAACTCTACTGCGACTGTCCCCAACACAAACTTCGAATCGGGCCTCATCATTCCATTTTTTTGCACACCATTGTTGAGGTGTCCATTGTCTATGTTTTTTAGTCCATCTCAGTTTTTTTTGCAGTGGAGTTAATGGTGGCTTTTCTTTGGCCTATAAACAAGTTTTGCAACTTTAGGGTTTTTACTTTATATATATAATATAAGAAAACTTACCTCGCAAGTGCTAAATCCCAGTTTGTGGGCCTCTCTATGAGTTGTAGACCTCGAAATTCTCCTTCCAACAGCGTCACTCCACAGAGCACTTAATTGTAAATAATTGGCACGCTTGTTTTTCACGATTATTCTTCTTAATGCTCTTCGGTCCGCATTTGTGATATTACTTTTTTTCACATATCGTGGCTTAATATTAACTGAACCAGTTACGTTAAATCTTCTAACAATATTTCTCACACGGTACCGCGATAAGTCTAACAAAGTTGCAATTTCTGAGTTTGATTTCACAGAATTAAAAAATTTAATTATCAGTAACCGAATTTTCTCACTAATAACCTTTCCTCTACCCATTTTGAAAACCGTAACTACCAAAAACTATTTTAAACGTATTCTGACAGCTGACAGCAACCTATGCGTTATAGACTTATTTTGCATTGAAGTGAAAATATACTAAGTGACATATAAATCCGAACACCCAGTTTAAAAGGTTTTATTTTAATAAAAGTTGGTGAATGTATTTATCTTACTGTAAATAACAAGTGACAAAATGTTCAGCCTTATCAGTTGGACATTCCGGTTTTTATACTGTTTTTTTTTTAATTCACTAACGCTCTAAAAATGAATATTTCAGCCGCAGTAAAGAATCAACGTTGGCGGATTTTGGTTCTTGTCATCCTTTACGATCGGTTACGATGCCTAGAGTACGGAGACCTGTACGATTTCGTCAACTTAGTGAGTTTGATAGGGGCCGTATAGTGGGACTTCGGGAAGCTGGACTTTATTTTCGGGCAATTGCAGTTAGAGTGCAAAGTGTAGACACTGTGGTTAGGTGTTGTCAGGCATGGATTCGAGAAGGCCGTACGCAAAGAGCAAGGGGCACTGGACGCCGCCGTAGAACAACAGACCGTGAAGATCGCCGCCTAAGATTATTGGCCTTAAGGGACCGTTTCTCCACTACCAGGTCCATTGCAAATGAATGGTTTGCGGAACACGGAAGACCTATTGGCATGCGAAGTGTTTACTGACGAATGAGAAGTTTTGGCTTGTTTTCATACCGGCCACACTGGGTCCTCCCTTTAACTCGAGAACACCGACGTAATCGCCTTGAGTGGTACAGACAACGGTCACTCTGGGATCAGGAATGGAACAGTATTGTCTTTAGTGACGAGTCTCGATTTTGTTTAGGCATGCACGATGGTCGTGCCAGGGTTAGAAGGCGACGTGGTGAAAGGAGGAATCCACAGTTTTTTGTTGAAAGACATGTTCATCACACTGTTGGAGTTATGGTTTGGGGTGCTATAGCTTATGGTTCCAGGTCACCTTTAATCTTCATCAGAGGTAACATGAACGCGCAGCGTTATATCCACGAAGTTCTAGAACCCCATCTTTTACCCTATCTTGACACCCTGGCAGATCCAACTTTCGAACAAGATAATGCCCGACCACATGTTGCAAGAGTCACAATAGAGTTCTTTCAACATAATGATGTCACATTGTTACCATGGCCACCAAGATCTCCCGACTTATCCCCAATTGTGCACGTGTGGGATATGATGGGTAGGAGATTGCTCAATTTGCAACGTCCTCCTCAGACTCTAGAAGCACTTCGAGAGGAGTTGGTGGTTGCCTGGAATGAGATACCACAGTAGGACATTGACCACCTGATCAGAAGCATGCCTAGGCGCGTTGGAGAATGCATAGTACATCATTGTGCATCCACACATTATTAAAGGTCAAAGGGCTTTAAAGCAGTGCAATCATTTTGAAATTTTTGTCATTTACTTATTATGCTTCATTAATTACTTATACAAAATTTTATTAAAATAAAACCATTTAAACTTGGTGTTCGGATTTATGTGTCACTTAGTATAGGTTGATATGCTGTAATTGCAACATGTGTTATTTTTATGTTGCAAATTTGATTAGGGAGTGATAAAGTTGGTGTTTTCTACTATATATTATCAAAATATTCATTGTTAATATTTTAAACTTATAACACCCCGCTACATTTTTATTATTTGTGTTTGATAAGAAAAAAAACTAAGATTTCAATAGTTGATGGGCCAACTGAAGTGGGACGGGGCTCGTAGAACAAAACTGCTAGTTCTTGTCCATTAGAGGGAAGTTATGAACCGGTAATTTGATGCTTCATGTCTCCTATTGGAAACATTGCCTTTCTAGAACTACGTAATTCATTCGACATATTGAGTGAACGAGTACAGTTCGTTTACTAATACGAGGGATGTCTGTTAAGTTTTGCATATAGAAACATAGTAGACCGCGCAGATCGAACGTCAGTATTGAACCTTAACCTCACTCTTCAGTAACCTTAAATTCAAAGTTTCACAACAATTCGTGTAGTGTTCTCTCTACAGTGAATTTTTAAGTGTCACCAAGTCATTAGAAAAATGGAACTCAACCGAGAACATTTTCGCGCCATAATTTATTACAACCTTCAGATATAATTATCGCAACAAGAATGCCTTGCTGAGTTACTGTCTGCTTTCGGCAACGAAGCGCCACATCAGTCGACAATTTCCCGTTGGTATGAAGAATTCAAACGTGGACGGGCGAGTCTTAGCGACGATCCCAGGGTAGGTGCACCAAAAACGGAAGTCCCCCAGGAAAACGTCGATGCTGTGCGCAAACTCATCATTGAAGATAGTCATGTGACATATCACGAGATTGAGGCGTCCTTGAAGATCTCAAAGACCTCAATTCAAAAAAATTTACATGAAGAATTAGGAGTAAGAAAATTAGTTTCTCGTTGGATACCCCACCTGTTGACTGAAGAGCATAAAGCAACCAAGGTTAAAAACGCTTGAACGTTTCAATTCCGGAAACTCAAAAAATGTGTACAGCAGTGTTAGTGGCAATGAATCGTGTATTTACTGAAATACACAGAAAATAAATGACAGTCGGCTGTTTGGGTGTTCCAACGAAAAGCCAACAAAAGTCATCCGTTCTCGAAGTGTTTCGAAAACGATGGTCGCGAAATTTGTGTCAAAAGCGGGCCATATTGCAACAATTCCTCTTAATGAGCAAAGAACTGTTACTGCGGATTGGTATACCACCAATTGTTTGTCAGAAATCATCACCGAACTTTCAACCCCGAAAGAAGAATCATCCTCCACCAAGACAATGCAAGCTCGCACACAGCCCAAAAAACAAGGCCGTATTTAACGAAAGAAAACGTGGAATTATTGGACCATCCTCCATATAGTCCCGATCTAAGTCCTAACGATTTCTTTACTTTCCCGAAAATTAAAAACAGACTGCGTGGTCAAAGGTTCCAGTCAGTAGAAGAAGCAGTTGACGCATTCAAAAATGCCGTTTTGGATCTGCCAGCAAACGAGTGGAATAAGTGCTTCGAAAATTGGTTCGAGCGCATGCAGATGTGTATGAATCTTCGTGGAGAATACTTCAAAAAACAATAAAGTCATTTAAAACTACCTGTTGTTTCATTTCAATATGCAAAACTTAAAAGACATCCCTCGTATGCAAGTCTTGACATATTCCAACGCAACTCGGCACGGGTTGCCCTGGTTCTAGGTACATATAACTTTATTTACAGTTGTTTTGACATTGTTCAAGCAAAATTAGGGAGTATGCGTTTATAAAAAAGAACTTAAATTTTTTTGGGACGCCCTACTGTAGAATTACGTAAAATCGTCTTGTACTCGTATTAGGTGTTTTGCCAAGTCGACTCTAGGTTGGGACAAAAGGGATGTCACGTGCCTCACAACCACAGAAACATTGGACTTCTTGCACTAAAAAGCCCCGTTTATATTTTGATATAGGTATCGATCATTTGCTGGCATTGGAATGCATTGAAGAGGCTAAAGAAGGTGGAGGCCGCATTACATCATTCGAATCTTTCTGTGGAGGATTACCGGCTCCGGAATTCAGCGACAATCCTTTGCGATACAAATTCTCCTGGTCACCTCATCGAGCGCTCTTGAATACCCTCTCCTCAGCTAGGTAAGGAAATCTAGATCTAGTTGTTGTTGTAGATTTATTTAGCATTAATGCTACAATGTCAATTTTGTATAATAATTCGGTTACATATTTTTCTTCTATCCATTTTCTGTAATTTTACATTCTTGCCTATTAAAATTACGTCACTACGCATTTTGAATATTCATAAAGTGATTTTTTAATTTCACCTTAAACATTTTTATATTCGAACACTGTTTAATATCATTATTCAATTTATTAAATTCAAATACTCTCTTTTGAAATATAGATTTACTAGTTATGCTACTACGAGTATTACAATCTTGCAGATGAAAATCTGTACTGCCTCTAGTTTCGTAGTTATCATAATGGCTATTTAATTTTGTTTTCTAAATGTGGTGGTAATAAATGATTTTTTAATTTGAATATGAAAACGAGAACCAAATAATACAGCAGACGCTCGATAACGTAAACACGGGATAATGAAAACTTGCGCTAATGTAAACACAAACTTCGTTCTATGGGATCAAACAGAACGCGCGATAACGTAAACAACTCTCGGCGCACGGAAACATCGCGACGGTAAAATGCTGAAGCCTCGATGATTTATGTCGGGCGTCGGGGAGTCCCCGATTTATGATGTAGAGTGTAGGGGATTCACCTCTGCGATAAAATACGACAAACTCGGTCAGTCGTATGATCGTTTAGGATACGTTGATACGTACGTATGTATTTCATTTTTGAACTTAAGTGAATACATTGCACGCGTTAATATATTTTACGACTATGGCATCCACATCCTATAAAAGAAAGTGTTTAAAGTTGAGTGAGAAAGTGAAAATCATAGACGAAGTTGCACTAGGTGCGGGAGTGACACAGTTAGCAAAAAAATATGAAGTATCGAAAGCAACAATTTGTAAAATTAAGCGTATGAAAACTCAAATTTTACAAAGAACGTGCAATACATTTGGAGGTCCGGGAAAAAGAAAAACTTAAAAAAATGCGAAAGCACCTAAAATGGAAAATTCCCTGTATAAGTGGTTTTTAAAACAACGGGAAAATCATGTCCCAGTTAGTGGCGAAGTACTTAAACAGAGAGCGAGACTGTTAAATGAAAAACTGAAAGAAACTGAAAATTTCGTAAATAGTGATAGCTGGCTACAACGATTCAAAACAAGATATGGAATTCCACTGCTATCTATATCTGGTGAAAAATTATCAGCACAACCACAAGTAGTGCAACCATTCAAAGAAAAATTATCGAGCTAGATTTAAGAATGGAACAAATTTACAACGCAGATGAAAGTGGCCTTTATTGGAAAATGTTACCAGAGAAAACCTATGCTGCATCATTTGAAAAATCTGCCCCGGGAAGAAAGCCGGAGAAACAACGAATAACGTTTCTAGTCTGCACTTATGCTAATGGTTCACACAAAATAAAGCCACTGGTAATTGGGAAAGCAAAAAATCCGCGCTCATTTAAAAATGTTAATATCCCTGTTGATTATGACTGTTCAAAAACCGCTTGGATGACTAGCAGTATATTCCTGAAATGGTTCCACAGGTGCTTTGTCCCTCAGGTATGACAATCAATTATCACAAATGCTCTATTCATAATTTGAAGATGTGTTTTCAATTTGTAGGTAAAAGGTTTCCTTAAACAACAGAAGCTTCCAATAAAAGCGTTGTTACTATTGGATAATGCACCAAGTCATCCTCCCGAGCAACAACTGAGGAGCAGGGATAGGTCAATTTTCGTCATGTACATACATGCCGCCCAACGTAACACCGTTAATTCAACAGATGGACCTGAATATAATAAGACTCACCAAACTATACTATAGGAAGTTTCTACTTTCGTCTGTCTTATCAAAGAATCCTGAAAACTTATCTGAGGCTTTAAAAAAGTAACATTACGAGAAGCTGTTTTAGATTTACATATGGCCTGGAATGAACTTAACCAGCAAACTATTCAAAAATGTTGGAACAATCTCTTTTGTACCAATAATGAAGATGATGAAGAAGACGATGTCCCCTTAAGTGAAATTAGAGAACGTTTGCGATTCAATAATGATAATGTTATTACTAGTGTGTCATTGGATGTTGTTGATTTATTGAAAACAGTGAATCCCAACATTGTTTCTACTCCTGCTGATATTAATTTATGGAATGAAGATAAGCATACGAATGATGCTGATAAGGAGGAGGATATGGACAGTGAGGATGATGAGAACGATCCCATTGAAGTCAGAAGTGTAGTGACTGACGCGCAAGCTATACAAGTTTTTAACCAAGCTTTAGATTGGGCTGAAAGAAAAGAAGTTTCATACACGGATATTTTAGTTCTTCGTAAATTACGGGCACAGGCATTGGAAGACAATGCTAAGCGCAAATTTACGCAGACAAAAATTGTTAATTATTTTTCTTCTAATTAAAAAAATACTTATCGCTGTTAGAATATTTGTTTATTTTGTTATAAATAGTATGTATTAAACGTTTCTTTTAATAAATCAAATATTAGATAAATCACGTTCGCTAATGTAAACATTTCGATAATGTGAACCACACTTGGATTAAATTAGTTTACATTATCGAGCGTCTGCTGTATATGAAATTTTTCACATTCAACCACTAAAGTTCTTCTAACATAGACTTAATCCTAGCATATTTGTTTTTATTTAAAATGATTCTCATAGCTTTATTTCGTAGAACTTGTAATTTTGAAAATATGTTTTCATTTGCTGTAAACAAGATGGTTGAACAACATACAAAAATGAGGAAGAATAGTGTTATACATATTTTTTTGGAATACATACTAAGATTATGAGAAACTCTATAGAAGTAATTTATTTTTTTCGATATTTGTGAAACAATGTAATCATAATGCTCGTGAAACAGTAGTTTATTATCCACATATACTAAGTGACATATAAATCCGAACACCCAGTTTAAATCGTTTTATTTTAATAAAATTTTGTATAAGTACTTAATGAAGCATAATAAGTAAATGATACAAATTTCAAAATGATTGCACTGCTTTAAAGCCCTTTGACCTTTAATAACGTGTGGATGCACCCTGATGTGCTACGCATTCTCCAACGCGCCTAGGCATGCTTCTGATCAGGTGGTCAATGTCCTCCTGTGGTATCTCATTCCAGGCAACCACCAACTCCTCTCGAAGTGCTTCTAGAGTCTGAGGAGGACGTTGCAAATTGAGCAATCTCCTACCCATCATATCCCGCACGTGCTCAATTGGGGATAAGTCGGGAGATCTTGGTGGCCATGGTAACAATGTAACATCATTATGTTGAAAGAAGTCTATTGTGACTCTTGCAACATGTGATCGGGCATTATCTTGTTGGAAAGTTGGATCTGCCAGGGTGTCAAGATAGGGTAAAAGATGGGGTTCTAGAACTTCGTGGATATAACGCTGCGCGTTCATGTTACCTCTGATGAAGATTAAAGGTGACCTGGAACCATAAGCTATAGCACCCCAAACCATAACTCCAACAGTGTGATGAACATGTCTTTCAACAAAAAACTGTGGATTCTTCCTTTCACCACGTCGCCTTCTAACCCTGGCACGACCATCGTGCATGCCTAAACAAAATCGAGACTCGTCACTAAAGACAATACTGTTCCATTTCTGATCCCAGAGTGACCGTTGTCTGCACCACTCAAGGCGATTACGTCGGTGTTCTCGAGTTAAAGGGAGGACCCAGTGTGGCCGGTATGAAAACAAGCCAAAACTTCTCATTCGTCGGTAAACACTTCGCATGCCAATAGGTCTTCCGTGTTCTGCAAACCATTCATTTGCAATGGACCTGGTAGTGGAGAAGAAACGGTCCCTTAAGGCCAATAATCTTAGGCGGCGATCTTCACGGTCTGTTGTTCTACGGCGGCGTCCAGTGCCCCTTGCACTTTGCGTACGGCCTTCTCGAAGCCATGCCTGACAACACCTAACCACAGTGTCTACACTTCTTTGCACCCGAAGTCCCACTATACGGCCCCTGTCAAACTCACTAATTTGACGAAATCGTACAGGTCTCCGTACTCTAGGCATCGTAACCGATCGTAAAGGATGTCAAGAACCAAAATCCGCCAACGTTGATTCTTTACTGCGGCTGAAATATTCATTTTTAGAGCGTTAGTGAATTAAAAAAAAAGCAGTATAAAAACCGGAATGTCCAACTGATAAGGCTGAAAATTTTTTCACTTGTTATTTACAGTAAGATAAATATATTCACCAACTTTTATTAAAATAAAACCACTTAAACTGGGTGTTCGGATTTATATGTCACTTAGTATATGTCACTTAGAATATATAGATTTCCGCTCGACAGGTTTCTTGAAGTATGAGGATCCGTTCTTACAAAGTTTCACAAAGGCTCTTAATGTTACAGATATTTAAGAAAAGGTCAAGTTGTCGAAATCAGTGAAGGTGGTGAACTAATGAGAGCTGCGAAACAACTCGATTTTCTTCCTGGATTTAACCTAGAAGGCTTCCCTAACAGAGACAGTATTCCTTATGCTAAGTATTATGGTGAGTTTCAAATTTCATTTAGTCAATACGCTTCACCAACAATTAAGACAAATATGCAATTTTCAACGAACATAATCAAGTATACAGGGTGTTCCAACGAAAATGGAAAGTATATAGTTTTCGTGGCAAACTTGATATGTTACTAGTACATATTTTAAAATTGCTAGTATATATACAGGGAGCTCCATAACTTCGTGCCATAGCTAGCATATATTTTTTTTAAATAGAACATCCTATTTTTTTATTTCATCTTTGAATAGAACTTCCAAAATCAAGAAGTGTGATATCATATAACATATGATTTCGATTTTTAACTTTTTTGATATTTGGTTAAACGTCTGAAAAAATGCCCAGCTCTGACGGCTCGCAGCTCCGCCATTTTGCAGGATATTTAGATAAGCTCTAGTTCACAAAAATTTCAGTGTCATCAATGTTAAGCTGATTTGGAAAAAGTTCTGAAATTCCAAATGGAACACCCTGTATATTTCTACATCGGTAAATAGATTTTTTTGTGAATATTTTATATTTTTCTTGGAATTAATAGCAATAACTCGAAAACTGCTCGAAAAAAGTGGTATAAAACCTTATATCAAAAACAGTTCCCAAGGAAAGATATTTAATGATAAGCAGTATACAGGGCGATTCATTTGACGCTTATGACGGAAGGTAAATTAATATATATATACAGGGTGGCGCATCAGTTTTTTTTTTGAAACACGCTCAGACCCATCGATTTTGTTTTCGAGGGAGACACAAGTTCGGCAAAAAATCACGTTAACCTTATTTTAAAGGTCTTTCAATTCCCTTTATAATGATGTAAAATACATGAGCTTCAGTTCAGTAGTTTTGAAGATTTATTCATTTAAAGCTTAAAGTAGACTTTAATAGGTACATCAGATTAGGTTGTACTACTTTCAGAAGAAATTTGACTAAAAGAATTTACTTAGTAAGTAAATGCTTTTCTTCGCTACAACTATGGTTTGTTTATCATTTTGTTGTTGAAAATAGCTATTGGAGCGTTTTTTTGTGGCAAAAAAGTTATTTCTTGAAGAAAGATAAGGAAACATCTCGTACTTATTTTAAATAGGAATTTAGTACATAGTTTGCGATTAATTTGACCAAACTTTGTTGCTAAAATAACTTGTAACGCTTTATTACATAAATTAACCATGGTATATTCCACAGCAGAAAGAGTTGAATTTATCGAAATATTCTTCGGAAATAATCAGTGCGCTAATAGAACAGCAGAAATATTTAATGAGCGACATGAGAACAGTAACTAACGTGCATCGAAAATATCTTCTAGAACTTGTAGCTAAATTTCGGGAAACTGGGTCAGTCGCCAATAAAAAACGCAACATTGAAAATCCGATAAGGAACGAAGCAATAGAAGTGGGGGTTTTAGGGCAAGTTTATGTAGATCCTACGTTAAGTAGCCGCAAATTGCAGACTGTGTGTGGTATTAGTCGACGTGCTGTCCAACGGATTCTAAAGGCCCATAGTTTTCATCCGTATAAAATTCACTTGGTACAAGAACTTAATGAAGACGATTTTGATCGGCGATTACAATTTTGTGAAGACATGAAGGAACGAATTATAAACGATGAACATTTTCTATTCAATACTTGCTTTTCAGACGAATGTTCCTTTTTCTTAAATGGCGTAGTAAATCGTCATAACTGCCGATATTGGTCCGATTCTAATCCCAGAATTTATCATGAGGTTCATACACAGCATCCACAAAAATTAAATGTTCGGGCTGCTATTTTTGGCGATCATTTAGTTGGACCTTTTTTCTTACCTGGAAATTTGACCGGTGAAATGTTTTTGGAATTACTGGAAGACGCCATAGATCCTGCATTAACAGCCATAATTGAAAATCAGAATAATCGGCGGTACATTGCGAATAGGTTGATGTTCCAACATGACATTACGCATTACGTGTTCGACAATATTTAGATGAGACGTTTCCAGATCTATGGATTGGTAGAAGAGGTGCCATTGAATGGCCCCCAAGATCGCCAGATTTATCACCTTTAGGATTTCTTTATGTGGGGTCATTTAAAAAGCAAAATCTATGCTACTCAGCCAACAACATTAGAAGACCTGCGACTAAGAATTGTGAATGAGTGCCCTCAAATTACTCCTCCAATATTGCAAAATGTGTGGCAACGTTTTGAGCAAAATCTTTATTATTGCATGGAGAGTCATTGTGGCCGTTTTCAACATTTACTTACCTAACGGGTCAGTTCATTCTTCATTTTTAAATTACTTTGCTGCCAAATGTATTGATCTCCACAAATGATGATGTATTAGTTTTGTTTAAGCTTTAAATCAATAAATCTTCAAAACTACTGAACTGAAGTACATTAATTTTATATCATTATAAAGGGAATTGAAAGACGTTTAAAATAAGGTATCACTCAACCCCCCTTTCCATTTCAAATTTTAGGGTTGGTGACACCCCCGCCCAGGAGGCTGCACGTGTTAACGTGATTTTTTGCCAAACTTGTGTCTGCCTCGAAAACAAAATCGACGGGTCTGAGCGTTTTTCTAAAAAAAACTGAGCTGGCAGTAAATGCGTCTGTTTCATTTTCGATGACAAAATATTTTTTTGAACAAAAATTTATCTAAATATCTTAAAAAATGGCGGAGCTGTGAAGCGTCACAGTTGGACAGTTTTTCAAACATTTCAATAATTATCTAAACAACTGATAATCGAAGTCATATGTTATATGATATAAAACTTCTTATTTTTAGAAGCTCTATCCAAATATGCAATAAAATATAGGTTATTCTATTTAAAAAAAACACGTTTGCTGTGATACGAAGTTATGAAACACCTTGAAAATAGTGAAATAATTTTGAAATACGCACTAGTAACTTATAAAACCATGAAACTACTTTCCATCTTTCTTGGGACGCCCTGTGTATATAGCTATACAAGGTGGCCCAACGAAAAGGTCGCACTCCTATTTGTGACTCCCTTGGTATATTTTGGGAAAAAACTCAGACAATTCTAATTTCTAGAGGGACGTCTTTTTATCTATAGCCGTACAATACAGGGTGATCCAAAAATAAGATATTGTGTTACACTTTAGATTTTTAAATGGAAACCTCAAAGATTTTTTTTAGAATCTATTCCTCAATGTTCAAACATGCCTTGAGCTATTATATTCCACAGTAATCCGCTGACGAAGATATTGGATCGAATCTGGCTTCGTACTAAAAACTTTACTTTTCAAATGCCCCCAAAGAAAGTAATCTAAAGGCCTTAGGATCCACTGATTCAGGAAACTGTTGTACTTAAGATACATAGTGCATGGTGTTGGAAATGAATGTAATTTTCATTACAATTATAATTAACGTCATTTTCTATTAATTTCGTAATTCGTGGCTCTATTGTATTCTCTAACATGTCCATCAAGTTTTCAGGAATAAAGGTAGGTCCTTCATTATGTGGATTTGAGTCGCTCCGACATCAACAATTATGTCTATTTACAGCTGCATGTAAATAGAACGTACACTCATGCTAGAAACAAATATTAAAAAACGGATTTGCATTGTTGGTTAAACTTTGGGACAGTAATTCTTGGTACTGTTGAGCTTGGAAATCCTGAAGAAGTAGCCAGTCCAGGAATGCTTTGGTTGTTGTCAAGTGCCACGTGTCTCTAAACGGTTACTTCTGCGGCTTCCTTTCTAAGTGGTCGGTTTTCTCGATGGCGATTACGGCGAATACTAGGAACAAATCAAGTTTCTCAAAAAATTTTTATTAACTTAGCCGTATTCTTATCATTAACATTTTTGTCTGGATGTAACGTAGACAACCGGGCAGTAGATTTTGCAATGCTTGTTATTTCTACCCTTTCTTGAATAGAATAGCTCATTGTTCAATATTTGTCACAATTAGGTAGGTAATTTACCAACTTGAAATAAAAGACAAAGTTTTTCTATGACATACAATGACACTGACTATTGCTAAATGTTCTTGCTGGTATCCATCATTATTATTTTTTAATCACCCTGTATTGTAAGACAATAATAATAATAATAATACCTTTATTGTCCAACAGTTTCCCATTTATAGGACAATTTATAAACATAATACAAAAGCAAAAAAAAGCGAAAAGAGAACAACAAATGCAACACAGGTATACATTTGTAACATGAGCTATTGGTCCGAATAAGCCTTAGCTGCCATTAGCAGGTAATTAACATTTGTCGTAAACATATCACAGTAACATCCAATTCTGTTTAAGTTAGAGCACATTACATATAACGGTGACTTGAGAAGAATGTTTGTCCTAGCTCTAGGAAGCCCGAATATTTTATGATTGCGAGATGCAAACGTTGGAGTACGAAACTTGATCTGTTCCAGGATCATGGGGCAATCAATTAAATTGTTGATCATTTTGTAGCCAAATATTATTGAGGCACAGTACCTACGTTTTTTCAAAGTCAACATGTCTAAGCGACTACATAGTTCCTCATTACTTGTACCTCTCTCTGGATATGTCCAATCAATCCTAAACAGAACAAACTTTCATAAACTTCCGTTGTACTCTTTCAATAGCTGTGCTATAGCATTCATAGTAAGGGCTCCAAATAATACTACAATATTCGACTTTAGATCTAACATAAGCATAATATAATAGCTTAATAGACTTTATGTTATGAAAATTCCTGCAATTCCTTACTATGAAACCATAAGCCGCCAATGCTTCTGATGCTTTTTTATTTATATGCTGACTAAAAGTTAACTTTTGATCATAGATTATACCTAAATCACGTACATCAGAGCACAGACCCATCAATAGAGTACGGATATTCGCAAACATTAATTTTCCTGGTATATGACTATTTTACACTTCCTCACATTAAGCTCCAACTTGTTTTCTACACACCAAGACAGCACAAAACCTAATTGGTGTTGTAGCTTGATACAATCATCAGGAGTAATTATCTGCGAATAAATGTTTAGGTCGTCAGCAAAGCATAGGCGTTCACATTCAACTGAGTCACAGAGGTCATTAATAAATATCAAAAACAGTAATGGTCCCAGGTTGGACCCCTGAAGAACTCCAGAAGGTGCCAAGTAGGTCTCAGATTGGAAGCCATTATAGCTAACAAATTGTCTACGATCGGATAAGTAAGATTTCATCAACTCCCTAGCATCATCTGTGAAACCAAGTGCACCTAACTTGTTTAATAAAGTTTTGTGGTTAATTTTATCGAAAGCCTTCGAAAAGTCGGTATAAATAACCTTAACTTGCTCATTACTATCAATGGCTTCCGAGAGGTACTGCGTTATTATAAATAGATTTGTGGTTGATGGAAACTGTGATGGAAATTGTGCATCAAATACAGTAACATCTATAACCTCAGATTTAATGCATTCCTTCCTTCCAATAGGTGGAAAGACGTTCTCCTAAAAATCAAAATTGGCGTGTCCGAGCGTTTTTCCCAAAATAAACCAGGAGAGCCCCAAATGGAGGCGCGGCCTATTCGTTGGGCCACCCCGATTAAACTCGAAGTAGAAACCTAAAAACGGTCTGGTTATTTGCAGGTATCGACGATGCCACAACGATTTTGAGAGGAACTCTGCGCTATTCAGGCTTCTCCCAAGCGGCTAGAGAGCTTCAAAGCGTCGGTTTGATCGACACCCAAGAACACCCAGCTTTACATTCGCAGGGACCCGACATTACATGGAGACATCTCATCTGTGACTTGCTAGGTCTCGAGGATGACACAATCCTGTTAGGAAACCTAAGGAGCAAGATCGTGGAAAGAACGGGTTCCGAATTCTCGGTAGAACTGTTAGAAGAGCTTGGTCTACTGGACGATAAGCTGGTCGTTAAGAAAGGGACGCCTCTGGATACACTCACACACTATTTGACTTCTAAGTTGTCTTTAGGTGAGAAACGTAGCCCTAATTTAATTCAGACGGATGACTATTAATTTTTGCAAAAATAGCAACTACCTCCCCTTTGTGGCGCCCATGTATGTAACTTAATCGGTCTAAACGTCTATACCCGTTTTGTAGCAACAATTTCTTCACGAGTTTATTCAGATGGATTTCTTCTGTTAGATAGATACGACTCAAAAAATTGCAAAGTAGAACGATCTAAGCCACAATTTGTAAGTTTGTTTAAGCATGTTTCAACCTGTCAAAGACTTCTCAAAAATTGGTATACAGGGTGTTCCTTAATGGTATGCGAATATTTGAGGGTGTGAATCTACATAAAAAATTAATGTTAGTTTGCTTTATAAACTATAGTCCAAAAATGTTTCCTTACAAAAACTCGGGGTGTTGAAGTTTTAGGAAAAAAATGGAAATTAATTAATAATTTCAGAACCGCTTTAGATATTTCACTGATATTTAGCAAATAGTGAAAGTTAAGAATTCTGTATATTTTTAGCTTTAACAGTGGCGTGCGTACGGGTATTGACTTCGATATTTTTTAAGAAAAAAATGGTACGCCAATGGTTTTTTGCCAAATAAGAATTATTTTTGAATTTCCCGTTCAATTTTAAACAAATAATTTCTCGAATTGTTTTCTTTTGATGCGCCATTTTTGAGTAAGAAAATAAAAACCGTTCTATTGTCCGAGAAAATTAATGTAATTATTGCAAAATGCAATTTAGCAAGAAGAAGAAAAAAATAGTACGTCAATGGTTTTAAGCCAAATAAAAATTATTTTTAAATTCTCGGTTCAATTTAAAACAAATTATCTCTCTCGAGTTGTTTTTCTTCGATGCGTCGTTTTTGAGTAAAAAAATAAAAACCGTTCTATTCTATTCTACTTCCAAAATTATTATTAATTTAATTGGAATGAACAACAACAACTGACGACATAAACATAACATTAAAACCAACGAAATGATACAAATTTTTTTGAAAATGGCCCCCTACACTTAGTATGCATGCTTCCGCCCTCCTTCTCATAGAATTGCGTACTCGTTGAAATATCCCTGGACTGTTTTTTTATTCTATCACAAGCTGCAACTATTCTTTCTCTTAATTCCTCTACAGTGTTAATGGGACTTGGGTACACTAGTGTCTTGAGATAGCCCCACAAAAACAAATATAAACTGTTGCGGTCTGGGGACCTTGGTGACCATTCTTGGGGCCCACCGCGGCCAATCCAACGATATGGATAAACAGTTTGTAAATAATTACGAACCGATACACTGCAATCCGCTGGTGCACCATCATGTATGTACCACATATTGTTTCTTATTACTAACGAAACATCATGAAGCAGCAAAGGCAACTGTTGAAGAAAATTGAGGTAAGTCTGACCGTCAAGTCGTCCCGCCAAGAAGAATGGACCAATAAGGTGGTTGCCAATAATTCCTGCTCATACGTTAACCGAAAATTGGTGTTGGAAATGGGTTTCGGTTACGGCATAGGGATCTTCTTCTGTCCACAAATGATTATTGTGGAAATTCTGATTGGCATTTCGAGAAAAATTAGCTTAGTCCGTGAGCAGAATCATTGATTCAAATTGCGGATTTTGTGTAATTTTTTGAAGATACCATTGACAAAAGGTCACACGCCTTGGAAAATCAATGGGAAGTAATGCCTGTACTCTTAAAATATGGTAAGGATATATTAAAAAATCCACTAAAATTCTCCAAACAATTTGATGGCAAATATTTAAGTGTCTAGCGATCTTCCTCGTACTCGTCTCAGGATGTTCTTCGACTTCGTGCAGCACTGCTTCCTCAATTTCACTTAGAGGTCTACCTTCAGATGTTCCTCTTCGGACAGAACCAGTTTCAACAAGACGACGATGAATATTAGAAAAGGTTCGACTATCTGACAAAGCACGATCGGGATATCTCTGGTGATAAATCCGTCTGACTTGCTCACCATTACCGTCGGCAAGGCCATATACGTAATGCATTTCCGCCATTTCTGCATTTGAACAATTCACCATTATTAACAAGATTGTAAAATCTAAATAATGAAAAAAATGTCACAGCGAACAGATTTGAAGACTTGTCAGATGTCAAAAGCCAGTGACATATTCCTGAGCAACTAGATATTTATTGCTAAATTGCATTCTTTTCTCTGACAATAGAACGGTTTGTTTATTGACGTATCCATGTAAATGAAAATGTGCTTCATCACTCATAAACAACGTCGACATTGTTATCCAACTGTTCAATCATGAGCTGTGCAGAATTAACACGTTGTGCATAGTCCCCTTTCAACAGTTGTTGACAAACTTGGATTTTGTAAGGATGGAACACTAAATCCTTCTTCGAGATGCGACGTACAGAGGACGCGTGGATCCCTAGGGAACTGGCACACAAGCGGACGGAACGATTCAGGCTTTGCAGCGTGTCAACTCTCACTCTGTCTACGTTTTCGGGGGTTCTAACAGTACGGTTTCGCTCTGGCGGTTTTTTCTTCATCGCAATACCTGTTGTGTTGAATGCTTCCACCCATCTCAAAATGGTGTTACGGTCCCGTACTGTCCCACGACGTGGAACACGAAAGTGAACGCGAAACTCACGTTGGGTTCGAACGACAGACTCGCCATTTTGAAAGTACCGACGTACAGTGAACACACGATGCTCAACGTTCCAAACCATCTTGCCAACTGAAACGGCACTTCTCCCTCTATCCAACACGCCCTTCCCCACCGACACGGGAGCAGCCCGCTCGATGTAGTACCCATTCGAAAAACATGCGTTCTTTGTGACGGACCTTGTACAACATCTACTTGGCTACATCTGTCAACACAATCTGATACATATTGTGTAAATTGCAACACATTTGTTGTAGTTGATTTTTTTCCACAAAGCCATGCTGTGGAGGGTGAAATGAGATGACGTATGAAATTATTTTAATTTAAAATTGAATTATTAATGATTATTCGACTGTGAATGACTATTTCCAGAACCTTAGTACAGTTACATAACAACTTAGAACTAGTAAATTCAAGCCATATGGTGTATGATGCAAATGCTGGGCAACCTATAATTGTAGATTTAACAAGTGATTTCTCAATTTTACTTTAAATGTTGTCAAAGTTTTCTGGTCTTTTATCTCTGATTATAATTTATTATATTCAATCAACCCTTGATGGAATACAGATTTGTAGCATATGTTATACTTTTTGGTCATTAAATGGAAGTCATCTTTATTTGTGGTATTATTTAAATGATGGTCGACATTTGATGATGTTAAATTAGTTAGACTTGATGGAAATATATTATTTTTTACTTTATAAATGAATATCATTACAAGATATTTGATAAAAATTTTTACATTGAGCCATTTTAATTTGCTAAGCATTTGCCTAATTGGAGTATATTTATCTTTATTTAGTATTATTCTCATGCACTTATTTTGTAAAATTTGCAGTCTTTCAAAAATGGAATTATTTGCTAAATATAAAATAGTCGAACAGTACAAGAAATTTGGAAGAATGATGGTATTATAGATAATTTTTCTGCTATATGAACTCAGACATCCTGAAACTCTCGATAAATATCCAGCTTTACTACTAATCTTATTTATAACTTTAACATAATGAATATCAAAAATTAATCGAGAGTCAACAAAAACCCCCAGATATTTAAATTTTCTACGAATTCAATATCTTCACCACCAATATTCAGTTGAACATTTGTACATTGTTTTTTTTCCGATTAACAAGGCTTTCGTTTTACTTGTATTTAATTTTAGTCTGTTAGATGCTAACCATTTTGAGACAAGTTTCAAGTCTTCGTTTATATAAGAGATACCAGTCTGAATATTTTTAGTACTTATATAAATCATAGTGTCATCGGCGAAAATCTGAATTTTGCATTTTTTGACTATGGCAGGTAAATCATTTATGTATAAAATCAAAAGAAGTGGTCCCAGGATACTGCCCTGTGGAACACCCAACGTATTTTCAATTTTTGATGAAATAGTGTCCTTAACTTTTGTAACTTGCATCCTTTTAGACAAATAATTTCTAAACCAATCTAAAACACTTCCTGTTATACCATATGCCTTCAGTTTACCTAACAAAATATCTCTATCAATCGTTTCAAATGCCCTCTTCAAATCCAAAAATACTGCTATGACAACTTCTTCTGAGTCTATGGCTCTTCTCCAATTCTCAGTTACCAACTGGAAAGCCGTTTCTGTGGAATATTTTTTTCGAAAGCCTGCTTGCGCCTCCACTAAAATTTTGTTTTCTTCTATAAACTGCATTAATTGGTCATGCACTATGGACTCTAATAATTTTTCAATGTCTGGTAACACGTTTACTGGTCTCATATCGCTGCATCTTTTAGAATTTTTTATTTTGGGAACTGGTGTTATTGTAGAGCGTTTCAAATTTTAGGAAAAGAACTGCTTCTCAGTGAACAATTGATCCAATTTAATACAGAATATCCCAAACTTTCGAAACAGTTTTACAGCACGTTTTGAGTAGTGATTTCGGCACAGTTGTTATTTGATTTTAAACTGTTTACTTTTTTCTTAGATAATTCAATGATACGCTGTGAAATTTAGAAAGTGTATGCAACATTTTATAGTGTATGAGAATGATTCCCAGATTTGAAAATGGGCCACACTCATGCAGTTTTCCGTGCATCTCGAAATTTACATGTTTTTGTGGCTAAATTGGATAACATGCACGGACAATACTTGAATACTGTCTTGAATAAAGAAAGACGGTAACTTATCTAGACCAGTAGCTAGTTTATTTTTAGGCTTTTTAGAGGCAAATATAGTTTCTTTTTCAGATTTGAAATGAGTTTATCCCATAATGGTTATCCACAGAGTTTACTAATTTTTTTTTCTTCTTTCAGAAAAAGATGAGCGAGACTTGGTGATTTTGAGGCATGACATAGGGATCTTGTGGCCTGATAACAAAAAAGAAAACAAAGGAATCAATCTGGTTGTATATGGAGACATAAACGGTCATTCTGCAATGGCCAAAACGGTTGGGTATCCAGCAGCTATTGCGACTAAAATGATTTTAGATGGTGAGTACAATGAAATTCGGAAAAGAAAGAATTATGAAATCCTCCAAAAGAATTGATGATTTAAACTTTATTGACTCCGCTTCAAAATAGCAAATTGTTGAGTTTACGTCAAGAAAGCCTACAGGTTTTCGTACAACAAAATCACACGTCAATAATCAACTAAAATGGTGGAAAGATCAAAGTAGTGAATAATATTTGTATATTACAAACAATAGGTTATGCTAAAATTTTTTGAAACCCTCTTGTTAATACATACTAGTTTAAAAAAACTAAACTGTGCCTTTTTTTCAGATGAAATTCAAGAGAGAGGATGCATCCTGCCGTTTGCTCCTGAAATATACCGACCAATTTTACAAAGACTGAGGACCGAAGGCATCTCACATCATGAAACTTCTAAATTTTATTAAACCATGACTGTATCTACATAAATAATGTATTTTTACACCCATATCTTCATTTGAAAACACATCTAGTTCTTTTCACGGTTTTCGGCGGTTACGCCACACTGCCATACGAATTAAATAAACAGATTGACTCATGGTACAATGTGCACAGCTTGACTTTCCTAAGAAAAATTTAACACTACGAAAGCTGATCTTTATCGTAGCTGCTACCCGCTCTTGCACACACATATGGATTGGGCGATAGAGTGCCTGCTTCAGAGTTTTGTGCGCCCTGAGGCAAAGTTAGATAGACAGATACGTAGATAGGGAAATAATATTTGTAATCTTAAGAGGTGATTCCTTGCATTATTCTAAGCAAAAGAGTTCATTATAACTTATGTCCGAAAATCAATCGTTTTCTAGGAAAGTGAGTCGTAAATAATTGAATTTTCTCAAACATTTGGCAACGCTGCAACGCAACCGCGATACGAGCGCACGACGACCGCAATTGATTCATCGAATTGTTTACGTTTGTATGATATCTTTGTTGAAAATATGCCTTGAATTATTCAATACTTTCACGCAATTTTTTGTGGCTAATATTTTTTATGCAATAACTCTTTCAGTACAGTACATTTACTTAAAAAAAAATGACCGAACTTACCGGTACATGTCGATACACACCACCAATTCCCACGATTTGTTGCGATGCACGAAAAAAGGAAAAAAACAACATTCGTAAATCATATCATAAAGTTACAGTTAAATGTATTAGTAATCACAACAACACGCGATGATACATGCAGTGCGGGTGGATTACGACGTTGCCAGTTGTGTGAGGGATTCTGTTTGTCTGTTTTTCTTCGGAAAATTGTATTTAATAAGCAAGAAAATTATTTTGTTAGAGACACGTAATTACTAAATAGATGTATTGATACATTTTACACTATTAGTCATATGAATTTTAATTAGTAACGTACAAAATTGATTTATTTCATAACTAAAAATAAATAAAACTTCAGCCTTTTTTCGCTCCGAAACAATAATGCAAGGAATCACCTCTTAAAGTTACGAATATTATTTTCCCAACACCCTGTATATATGGATCTCAAATAAGTGAATTATATAACTCACACAAGGTATAGTATGGTTTACAAATAAGGGCGTTTTTGAGTTCACGGCGCAATGTCTTTAAATTGTTGATTCTTTTGATATTTTCAGGGAGGCACATGTAATTTTTCAGACCATTATAAATAATTGAGTCTTTCGCAAGTGTTGACTCAAATACTACCAATTTAATATCTCATTTTTGTCTAATACCGAGAGCATTTAAATGTCATAAATTTGGTCTAACAATGAAATTCAAGCAATTGTTATCGCACCATCTTTTAGTTGATTGTATGTGTTAGAACATGTCGTCGACAATACTTGTAATCCATTGATCTTGGAGCTATAGTTATGCTCTACAGTTTATATTTAAATCCTGTAGTTTTAAGGTGATCCGCCAAAAATCGTGAAAAGACCTATGTCTAGATTATAATTTTTGTAAATAACATGTTATTTTATTGTTATGTGTTCGAAATGTTTGAGTGTGACATAAAGTGGAATATGGAATATTATTACAAGCTTGAGTTAGCGACTGAAATGTAATTATACCAATATACCTACGTTATTGTTGTTACGTTAAATTTGTTTTTTTCTACCCCGGAAACTAAACATGAATGAAGATGATGATACCCTATTAGGTATCACAATGGAATATTTAGAAAAAAAATTACGACGGAACATCCGAAGTCTTAAACAAATATTTAGAAAATATTCATTAAATATTTTCGGCTAAGGCGCATGTGCGTGTGACCCCGAGCGACCAATAGCATAATAGCAAGCCAGCCTGAGCCGTCCCGTTTTCCGGCATCCATTTTGCCTATGACTTTCACTATGATAGCGTGGTTCCTGTGTAGCTCCAAGTGGCACATTATTTGAGTGTTTTTTGTGGGAGAGGTTAAGTTTTTCGATAATTAGATAGCTTAATTTATCTGACTAGTAAACATTATTGTGCCAGTTGAGTATAAAGGTATTCACAAAACCATACTTAACTAGCCTTTGAATGTAACAGTTATTTGATATTGGTGGATTGATCTGAGAATGGATACGAAAATTGTATTCATAACATCCCAATGAAAAGTCGTATAATCGCAACTTGATCGAGATACATCAAAAATGCTTTTTTAAATATCTCAATTATTATTATTATTTTTGTCGTAGTAGGTATGAATTAAGTATACTACAAATATCTATAATGAATATTTTATAAGTATATAAGAAATATTTTTATTAAATATTAAAAAATTTGTCACTACAAATATGTAACAAACATTCTGTTAAAGTATTTAATAAATATTAAGTGCTATCGGGGTATTAACCACATTTCAACAAAAGTAAGCAAATCTCTCAACTCCCCTCTCATGCTTTCTTAAACATTTTGGTACATTTTACGATTTGAAGCAAGTAATGGATGTCACACACATGCTTTGAATACCATCATTTAATGTTAATTTCCATTGAACTGCAAACCTATGCAACTTCATTTTCGGCAAACTCGGAAATGGATCTTTCTAAATGCTCTTTAATTGTAAGGCCACCTTCATCCAAATGAGATCCAAAATGATCATGAGGCAGTTTCAAACCAGCAGCCAGTTCCCGACTAAGAGGAGCCGCTTTTTGTTACTTGGTTCATTTGGTACATTTCTACAAGGAGAATTGATAACTAGAAGTCTAAGCAAGTAAGCATATCCATATTTGGGGAATCCCTAAAGGTGCGTTTCGATTTCGAGCATAGACAAGGATTTGTTGTGTAAATATTACCATCGATGCCAAAACAGAACTTTTACTACCGCACAAATATGACAGGTCTGTCGGCGTATCTGTCCGCTAATCCTTGACCCCTCTAAATTTTTACACAATATTACTACTATGACTAGGATGGAAAAGCTTTGTAGTTTTTTTAAATCGATCCAGTGGTGGCGGAGAGGAATGCCAAAATCAAAAAAATAAAAATTGCTCAAACACCTGATTCTGATCATTTTTGAAAAAATTCTTGGAGTTAAAAAAATTGAGCGTCGAGGTAGATGGGGGGCTGAGTAGGGTATATCACAATTTTTTGATGTTAGTGTATCTATACGCTGTCAACCTTGGTAATTCTACGCACCTACTGGTAATTCCATTGGTAAAACTGTAAACGAGGTATACAATCTCTTGGCAATAATGCTTGCACCCATTGGACATGATATGAATACAAAAGTTGCTCGTAGAGAACCTGCCACACAGTGCTGTTGAAATTATTACCACTTAATCTAGTTGCTATAGTCCTGGTACTGATACCAGTATTTTGTACCAAAGCACGTAAAACTGCCTCGTCAAACTCAGGTGTTCTAACGGACATCGCCCGGCCTCGTCTCATTGGTGGAAATGTCAAAATTTTCTCAAAAACATTATTGTCAAAAACATCAATAAAAACATAAGAAAATTTACCTCTTTCCCGGAATCTACGGTCTACGCCTTCAAATCTTTTACTATCTGGAAGTTGCTGATGGAGAAACACTTCTGCATACAGGCGCCTCGATGCATAACAATTACTATAAGCACGTGCATACATGCCATTTTCTCAAAATGTCCATCACAAAAACCGAGTCAAAAACTTTTTAGAGAAATTTCGCAAAGAAAATTACGTGAATAATTCCTTTCTTGCAGAACTGACGCGCAAATGTCAAACCTCCATGTAGAAATGATTTTTTTGTTTTTCAAGGCACTTGTGATTTTTTTAGCAAAAATTAATAACCCAATTTTATCCAGTGACCCGAAATAAAATGGTTTTTTTTTTCTCGAAAACAAAGTGAGATACGAAAAAAATACAAGAGGCAAAGAAGTTGTATTCTTATATGCCTAATCAAACAATAAATAGTAAAGTGACAAGTGCCCCGGGAAAAATAATATTGCCAAATCTCAACAGAATCGAGTAAATATTTTTTTAAATAATTAATCAGTGCTTGCAAACACTGGCTCATAATTTCAACAAATAAATTAATCAACACTTTTAAAATCTTTCAATTCTCTAACAAAACTCCTATAGTTATTAAAATCTTTCATACAATGCGGTAAATTATTAATTTCTTTAATTGCGTCTGTGATTGGATTTTAAACCTATATTAGTTCTAGTGGAAACTTGATAAACATTATTTAGTGATCTTGCTTGGTGATCATGCACATTATGGTAAAAACTAATATTTATGTTACTTTTTGTGGATTATTTATAATTTTATAAACAAGTTTACATTGTTCCACCTCCAATATCACTCCTAATTTGTTTAAATTTAAATTTGAATAAATTGTATTAGAACTTGTGAGCCAATCAAAATTAAACAATATTTTCAAAATTTTATTTTGCGAAACTTGAGCATTATTAAAATTAACTTAAATTTGAAATTTGCTTTTGTTAGACAAATAATCTCTACTCTTATATAAGGCAGGCATTGAAACTATTTTATCAGAAATTCCATTTAAGTGTAGTGACCAATTTGAATGTTCATCTATTAGTAATCCCAAATATTTAATACTTTACACTTTTTCTAGCGCTATATTATTTATGTTAATATTTAGATTAATGTTAACTGACTAATTCTTTCGTTTAAATATGCTTCAACTCATCATTAATAAGATTCGTTAAAGCAATTCGTCTGTTCCAGAATATACAGTGTCATCTGCAGAGGTAAAAGGTCTTGCCCTTAGATTGGCCAACTTGAGAATCAGTACGTAAAGACCTACAACAGAGATCCAAGAAGTGATCCTTGTGGTACCCCGTAGTTATTAGATAACCATTCACTATCAATGTCTTCAAGATTTATGTACTGTTTTCTGTCATATAAATACGTCTTAATCAAGCTGTACAAAATACCTCTGAATCAGATTTTAAACAATTTATCCAAAATAAACAGCTACAACTACTTGTTGTTTATCTAGAGCCATTGACATGTGATCCACAAAATCAACAACCGCACTAAGTGTGCTACTGTTCGTTATAAACCATATTGAAATACATAAATCAATAGACTGCGAGTATCAATAAAAGATAACAATTTTTTTTAAATTCTCTATGATCTTAGAAAATACACTTACAACTGAAATAGGCCTGTAATTGTTCATACATCTTTTATCACCCGACTTAAAAAGTTGTGTTATTTTACTTATTTTCAATTCTGATGGAAAGACCCCTTTTTGTATAGTTTCATTAATTAATCGTACTAAAACAGTATTATGTATTCTCCAAGTTTATGTGCATCCCTAACCGTGATACCGTCATTTCCGGGTGCTCAGTATATTCTTTCACAACTTCCAACAACTCTTCTTTATTAGTCAATGTTATCAAAATAGAATCATCATTGTGAACCTCACCAACATAAACAAACTCAATCAAGTGCTGAATCTCCGATTCCAAATTTTCAACAATTGATCCACCGACCCGAGAAAAGTATTTATTTAAATTGTTTGCGATGTCAAGTTGAAGATCAATAATGTTATTCTCAGTTGTTAGTTGATCAACTGTTACTTTATACTTCTTATTTTTCATTAGACTGTTAATAAAAGCCCATTGTTGCTTTACATTATTTCCAGCTAAGCTCTATTTAGTGTGGAAATAACGGTTCTTCGAAGCACGTATTTTATTCTTAATTTTATTTTTAATGCTTTTTAAATTCAGAGATAATAGTGAAGTTTTCTGGTTGCTTAATCTTTCACTTGTATGATTTATCTCTTTTTTTTTGATAAGCTCAAGGACTTCATTATTTATCCAGGTGTTATTTGTACGTATTCTTATTTTTTCATATATACCGATTTACTTTTACATTCTTTAATCAAATTAATTAATTGTTGACAAGTTGTGACATTTATGCTTAAAATTTTTTGTCTACATAAATTTCGTCAAGGCAGGTATTAATAAAAACATTTTTATATCTTGAGAACTCTACATTCCCAGACCTATTATTATAAAAACTTTTTTTCATAGTTTTTAACAAGGAATCTCCCTCTAAGGGCCGTATCGTAAGTCGTTCCTACAATTTAGGATGCCGTTATAGCCTCCGTGATTTTCATGGTTTTCTACTGTTCCGTGTCAGCACTCTATTTTGAGGTTATGTTACAAATATCCATTTGCATCAAATTCTTCAAGATTTTGATTTATATCAACCAAAACATAGCCAAACAATAAGATAGCGCTAACGCTGACACGGAATAGTAGAACTCTAGAAATATCCCAACCTTTCTGAAGGATAGAAAAGACCATGAAAATCAAGTAGACCATAAAGGCGTCCTACAATTGTAGGAACGACTGACGATACGGACCTAAAATATCTCCGCCTGTTTTTTCACCCTGTATATATCGTGGATTCGCTTTTTTTAAATATCGATCTATCGAATATATTTTTTGTTGACATGTTGACCCATCTCTACCATCTGATTGACTGACGTGACTGACAAGCTGACAATGGCCAAGTCATCAGTCACTGGCGAACCGTCTTGGTTTTTTAATCCCATTTTTATTCCAAAAACCCAATTAAACAGAATTCTGGAATTTGGAGAACGGCAGTGATAGTAATGTCTTATACTTCGTGAGAGCATTTTCGATATTTATGTAGCAAAAATTCATAAACAGGGTTATTGTATTTTTTATTTTGGATAGTGAAAACATATTGAAGACATGGAAAACCTCTTCAGCATGTGGAAAGTGCGAGAACTCGCAGATAAAGTGTAAGTACTCCTCATTCAATCGGAATTCCAGAAACCAGTTGTCACCACCCACTATCGAAAGTGTAGGCACACTCTGTAAATGCGTTATCATGTTTTCAGTACAAATGTTGTAATGAACTACACAGAGATTGAGGCAAAGGTACGAGAAGCTACCAACGACGAACCTTGGGGCCCCACTGGTCAAATCATGCAGGACCTTGCTCATTCCACATTCACTTACGAACACTTTCCCGAGGTAATGTCTATGCTGTGGAAACGAATGTTACAGGACAATAAACAGCATTGGAGGCGAACATACAAGGTATTTATTAGGTTCTTCAAGCTATACAGTATACCATTACATTAAAAATGCATATGAAAGAGGTCGTAAAAGGTATTTCTAGATTAATTTTGTTATAATGATGTAAGTATAGCTCATTAATGAATAATTAGTATTGAGGTTTAATCAGTGTACAGTGAATTATCAAATGTTTAGCAGGTATCAGCGCTAGATTACTTACAGGTTTATAATTATACATTGGAAACTTGTTTACATAAATTTAAAAATAGACAAAAGTTCCCAACACACAGCCAAATGCGTTAAATTAATACAAGGATTAGTGAAGACCACCCTGTAGAACTCAAATTTTATCAAATATTAATGGTATAAAAATGTATTTGACTTAATGCTTTTGGAAATAAAGAATTTGCACAGTCTAAAGACATTTTATAATCTCTTAAAAGACTATTGAATTGAAAATAGTTTTTACAGTCTAGAAGAATATCCTGATATATGCCATTAAATCTTATTTTTTACTAGTTGACTGTTTTTTGTTAGATATAGGTTTTTTAGATTTGAATATGTATGACTCTTCCTGTACAATGTTTTTTGTCGAGAGGAAGTAAATAAATAACAATAAGTCTCCTTTGGACCGACACCAACAGGACCAACTGAAAGTGTTACATATAATATGGATGTATATACATAAATATATGTAGTAACATCAAACAGGGAAATTAAAAGTCACTTTAAGGACACAAAAACTCATACATTGTCGTTTGTCTCCTCTTTTTCTTTAAAATGTGCATCTTGAAATCATATTTCTTATTTAGAAAAATGCTCCAAAGGCTCCCCTGATATTTGACAAAACTTTTGAGATGCTTGGTAAGGGTAGCTTTACACAACAATTTGGAATAGCCTGCGTTGGTACTTTATCCTCTTTGACAACAGAATCTTCACAGTGTTATTGTATTTTCAATTTCTTGACCTGAATCTGGATGTTCAAGATACAAGCTTTCATCTAAGTTCAGAAAAACATTCAGTATCAGTCAATTTCAATAAATTCTTAATTCTGAGGATATCTGAAAGTGCATTAAGAAGTAAGTCATCTTTGGGGTCAGATGTATGAGCTTCATTTAACTGGTCTTCACTTTGCCTATTTTCATGCTTAAATCCTGATTTGTAGAAGCAATTTTGCACTGTTTCTTTGGTTACTTGGGTCCCAGCGGTTTTTGCTAAATAAACTGCATCCTAGTGACAATTTGTTCTTATTAAGTCAAAAGCTGTACCAGCTACTAGCGAGTGTTTGAGAATTAGGCTTTGGTAATAAGTTTTAAAACCCTTTATAATCCCTTGGTTAATTGGTTGACAAGCTAATGTACAATTGGGAGGCAAAAATAAGACCTTTATATTATTTAAGCAAATGGCTTTTGGATGAGATCCTGCATTGTCTAAGATGAACAAAATGTCTTTTTTTTTTTCTTTAACCAGTTTCCAAACTAGGTGCATGCAATCACTCTGTCATAATTTGGAGCCATTTCTTCATAATTTGGAGACATTTCTCAGTCGTCAGACTAATACTGAATAGAAATTTAATCGAAAGAATAAGAACGATAAATCCCCGAACAACTCGGGGAAGTCCCTAATCCACGCCGGGCAGAAATGCACCACATAGGCTGCGTTTGTACCGAAAGATTAAGTGAATCCCCGGCGAAGATGGCGCGCGTCACGATTGAGAAATGCTATAGCGATACTCTCAACAGAAAAAATAAGAGCGTTTATTTTTATTTTGTTTTTTGTCCGGTCAGTAACATTTTCTCATCTCCGCGTCCGTTCAAGAGAGGGTTAATGCAAATTACATGAGAGTCGGTCGGGACGATGAGAAACTGTACATTTAAAGGAGGTGTCCGTGGAAGAGGGGTGTCCGTGAAGGGGAATTTCACCCTATTTCATTTGTTTTTGTTGTTTTGCCGGTACCTGTTTTTTGGATGTTATACGACATGTACATCATGAAAAAAATGTCACTCCTTACCGTTGGACGGTATTTCTGTCGGTCTGTTTGCTAATCTTATAACCGCCTATAACTTGAAAAATACCGCTCGGATTACGATGAAATTTTTACTCAATGATTTTACTATGTCAAAGACGCAAAAGTTTTGAATTTGAGTTTTTGAAAATCGGTCCAGTGGCGACAGAGAAAAAGGCCAAAAACAAAAAGAACAAAAACGCAAACTTCGTTTTTCTGGCGCTTCAGAGAATCCTGTTCATTTTTTAACAAATTTTTAGAGTTAAAAAATCTTGGGGTGGAGGTTGCAGGGGGGCAGGATTAAATGAATGAATGAATCTTGAAATTAGAGGCATTCCGGCGACCATAAGGAGCCAGTGCATAGGCCGCTTAAGCGGGCCCTTATGCACCTCTACAATTTAGCGAAGTTGAGAAGGGATCCTCAGCCACCCCCATCACGTGCAGGTGACGCGTTAACGTGTTATGGCCAGACAACAGTCCCACCAGCAACCTTAGGTTGGCTCTATCCAGAGATAGACAGAAGCGTCCATCCTTAGCACTGGACCCTTCAATGAGTTCCCGTGCCTGGCGGAGATGTCTGGAGATGCTTCTCCATTTCTGAGAGTGTTGTCTTGCAACCCACGCCTCCATTTTCCTCCTAGCTTTATGCGCGGTCACTCCTAGAGCTGGCTCAGGACCAACGAGCTTGCTGGCTGATCCTGTCGTTGGCAGAGTGTCCGCCGTCTCATTGCCCCTTATCCCAGCTTGCTCCGGTACCCATATTAACGATACCCGAACCTCCCTGCATTGCAATACAAGACTCAAAATAATCTTACAGAGACTTAGTGCTTTCATTGCAGCCTGGCTGTCGGATAAGATTGTTATTCTTCTCCTAGGCCCACCCTCCTCCAGAATGTGGGATACACAAGCCAGAATCGCAAAGATTTCCGCCTGGAAAATAGTGGTGTATCCACCGAGAGGCAGAGATAGCCTAGTCCTAGGCCCAGAGACCCCAGCACCTGAGCTCTCTTCGGTGACCGAGCCGTCCGTGTACCAGACCTGCCCGCTCACTACCGGCGTCCCACTCCTCCCTCGTTGGATATTCCACAATAAACTTGTAGGGTTTATATCAATTCTTTGATGTTAGCACATTTATACGCTTCAAGTATAGCTCTATCACTTATAAGTAATATTCAAAGTTTTCTGGAATAGATTGAAAGACTCATGTTTGTGCTCAACTTAGCCAACTGTTGGTGAAGTTTTTTAGAATGGACTGCCTTGCCCCAATGAATGCAGCAGATTGCTAAATATGTCATTTACTCCAAACAATAAAAATAAATCACGAATGATCTTGAAGAACGATCTGCATGCACTCGCGAAGCCTCGGTAGCATGCCGAAGACACCGTAAATTAAAATAATGTCCGATATTGAGTGAGCCATTTTTGTTTTCGTTTTGAGAAGCGATGTGTAAGGGCTTTGTTTACCATCGCGGCCAGCGTCAGCGCCTGGATTGAGTATTGATGTTCACCGTACGGGTTCACGTTTGGTCTGATCGAGGTGTAGGACCGGCACGGGTATTACGTATCATGAAAAGTGGCATAATGTCGTTTCTTTTGACATTGTATTGCTTTTGTGATATGTAGGTTTTTCTACAAGATGTTAATTTAGCACTAGCTGATGGACACGTTGTGAACTCGTTTTGTTGTTGTACGTGTTGCCTAAACGTCATGAGACTTCAGTTGACAATGTTTGGCTCTGATTTGATGTGATGTAAAATCTGCTTCAGAGATGGCATTACTGGAGGTCTAAGCAGCAAGTTGTATACTATAGCTAGAAGGAATAATAATATAATAATATGTGTTGATGATAATATTTTATTGGATTCTTGTCTCACGTACACTTACTTGAGATTCAAACCTAGGAATTAGTTGCGCATTCACTTTTTCTTATTCATTCTGGAAATTAAATATGCAAATTTGTTGAATTTCAAAAATGAAAGAGTTAAGAAATAAGTATATTCACTGTACATTGTCGAATTACAAATCATGTACATGCTAACAGTAATTGCACATGACGCGGGCGCGGTGGTAATTTCCCGTAATTCTCCTCAAAGTCTTTGAAAACACAAAGGAACGTAAAATATCGTAATTTATAACTTAAAACATAGCCTGTCTTCTATAGAAAACCCGCCGGGCACAGCTAATAGATATACTTCATTGGCAGCATATCGAATAATGATTTTCTAACACAGCAAATATCACTGATTTTAAACACATGCAGACCAATACACATAATCATCCAGATGCGATCTTGCTATTCAAACAACTTTCTTCTCTTCAGAGATGGAAACTACAGACTACTCGGCTTCACAAAACATATGCAACCAACAATTCGTGTAGTTGAGTCATTCCTCCGTAGATTGGAGCTCGCAACAACCCGAGCTGACGTGGAATGACTGTTTGCACCCTAAAAACTACCTAGTCTGCAAGATAAAATTTTATAGGTTTTTTTGGCTTTTTATAGGTTTTTTACATAATACCCGTACCGATTAGGTTTTGTTGAGGTTTGATTTATTTTGCGGAGTCTAACATCTCGGTAATCTTCAGACTTGGGTGTATATGCTACTAGAAATAACTGCTCCTTTTTCCCAGATCTGTAGCCGTGTATTTCATCACTCAGAATAGCCATTTGCTAATTCTACCCATGCAAAAAATAAGTTGGTGAAATACCTGTATTACTCATATTAAATTCTTTGCAGTCTCTGCTTGTCCTTCATTACCTGATTAAAAACGGATCCGAGAGAGTGGTGACATCTGCCAGGGAACATATCTACGACTTGAGGTCTTTAGAAAATTACACTTACATTGACGACGTAGGCAAGGATCAGGGTGTAAATATAAGGCATAAAGTGAAAGAAATGATCGACTTCATCCAAGATGATGACAGATTACGAGAAGAAAGGAAAAAAGCCAAAAAGAATAAGGACAAGTTCATTGGGATGAGTTCTGACATGATGAGTATGAGATTTGGTAAGTATTTGTAGATTTCCTGTATGTATATTTTTATAAATTCATTTTTAAATATGCATTTATGATGTACAAAATGGAAAACTGCATCTGGTCTGCAACTGCTTTATACCTATTTTACAACTTTTTGACTTTGCCCCAAACTACTGGAAATGTTTTTAGTGCAATAATTTTATTGAGTGATTAGTGTTAAATTATGCCACAAACACATGCGTTACAGAGAAATCCAAATATCACTGACGTGTACGATAGAAAAACGCGCAATATACAGTAATGGACAAAAGTATATAGACAAATATGAATATTTACCTAAATACCTTTAGAAAACGAATTCATACTTCATTGCTCCATAAACAAATGCTTTATTAGTAGAAAAACTAAATTCCTTGTTTTTACATCAACTGCAATGAACACAATACAAGTCTGAATATAAGCACTTTTTTATTAGGGACAAAAATATGTAGACAAATTCTTTTCAACATTAATTTCGTGTCAGAAGAGGATTTGTTTGTGTTCATCAAGTATTGTGGAATAAGTTGAGTGATTTTAAGACCATGCCGCGTGGTCCAGAAATTTCTTTCGATGTGAAAACTAAGATCATTGAGTTATACAAAGATGGTCAACATCAAGTTGACACTGCCAAAAATTTGAAGGTGAAGCGTAAAGCAGTTTGGGCAATATTGAACAAATATAAACAAAAAGGTATCTTGGTAGCCTCTAAGAGAAGTGGTCGGCCTAGAAAACTAAATGCTAGATCAGTTAGATTAATAAAAGTAATTTCGTCCAAAGATCCGTTTAAAACCCCAAGACAAATAAAAGCCGAAATCGAGACAAAAGGAATTGCCAGTGTTTCTACGAAAACTATAAGTATAAGATTAAATGATTTGAAGTTATTTGCACGTCGCCTGAGTAAGAAGCCGCTAATCTCGAGGAAAAACCGTAATTTGCACGGTTGCATCTTGATTGGAGCATCTGTGACATCAATGACGAATCCAAGTTAAATATGTTTGGATCAGATGGTGTTCATTACGTTAGACGTCCTAGTGGACAAAGATTGAACCCCAAGTACACTTTGCCCACTGTCAAACATGGAGGCGGGCCTGTTATGGTTTGGGGGTGCTTTTCGGGGTTTGGGATGGGACTTTTATATAGAATAGATGGCATTATGGATACGTTTGTATACACAGACATACTAAAGCATGTCATGATACCCTATATCGAAGACAATATGCCCTTAAGATCAATCTTCCAGCAAGATAATAACCCGAAGCACACTTCAAATTCTTTCTAGATGAAAAAATACCAGTTCTCAAATGGCCTTCACAGTCTGCTGATATAAACCCCATTGAAAATCTATGGGAATACTTAGAGAAGCAAATACGAGATAAAAATTATTCAAACAAGGATGAACTTTTTGCCGCTTTAGAGCAAAAGTGGAGACAGATTGATGAAACTTGATATCAAGAAACTTCTACAATCTATGCCGATACGATGCCAGGCGGTGATTGATAATACTGGTTATGCTACAAAATATTAACACAAACATGGTTGTTTTTCTATAATTCAATGAACTTTGCTTCTTTTTTCTATAATTGTTTTGCTTTGTCTATATATTTTTGTCCTTCATAGTTCCAGCTTTTTTCAATTAATTTTTTATTGAAGGGAGTCTAATGAATTTATTTATGTATAAGTGAGTATTATGCTATAACGAATTATGTATACAGGTTGGTGTATTAATAAAACAAGTTAAAAAAGACATACTGCACAATATTAATTTGTCTATATACTTTTGTCCATTACTGTAAGTCAAAAGACCGGTTGTGAACTTTTGCTGTGATAATAAGCTTATTTGACGACATAGTTTTTTCTATTATTAATGTTTTAACAAAATCGACACAGTGGTTGCTGAGATTAATCATTGACAAAATGACAAGTGGATAATAGCCAATCGGTGACGTAGAGGCTAAAAACCATTCATTAAGTTGCAATATTTTTGATAAAATGATAATCATACGCCATAAAAATAACGTCATGAATCGCCCTGTATACACACAATTGCTCGATGCCATTTCAAACAAGTTTTGAGAACGTATTCTGTACCTGCGCTAAGCCAGAACTGCACTACCCTGTATAAAGCAATGAAAAAGTGCTGGAATTCTTCCAGTGAGGCAACTAAAAAGGAAACGAATTCTAGAAAAAATATCGTCTTGTTCAGAAGTTCGAATTTCAAAGGTTTTTTCGCGAGTGTCCCTTCTACTGTCAACGGGTTTTATTTGCGTCGACAACCCATCCCAAAAAAAGGAGCTAAGTCCAACCCTTACAACTACAGGCCTATAGCTCTGCATTCTGTTATAAGTAAGGTGATGGATAGGTGCTTAAATCGGGAGTTTCTGGAGTACCTCGAACGTCAGGGCTTGATTAGCGACAGGCAGTATGGCAGCGACTTCCTCTCTGTCGAGAGACCTGGAGGTTATCACTGCTCAGGGACGTAACAATATTGCCAAAGAGCCGTTCATTTCGGCTAGTCGTTAGTCCAGATCACCGAGTACTTGATCTGGCACGAACAGATCTCGTCAGTAGCGGCAGCTGCTGGGAAACATCTGGTCTATTTGTTTAGGGCTAAGAAGCACTTTTCTCCACATGATCTCCTCTCTCTGTACGAGGCCCAGACTGCATTATCCATGTGCGATGCTGTCCAGATGAGGGCTGCCCGACTGATCGATGACTCTGCTCTAACAGCCGTCTCGGGGTCCTTTCGCATCGGCGGGCCGTCGGCGATCCAGCTCTCTTCTACCGCTTCATCAACTGGTCGATACGACCGCTCCTTTGTCCCTATGGTATCGAGATTGTGGAACAACGTGCATGAGTTCAAAAATCGGATTAACAAAGTTTCTTTAAGCTCCTCATTTATTTATTTATTTATTTATTTAGCAACATCCAACAGCCATAGCCAATTATAGGATGGATAAACATGAAAATATAAACAAATGCATGTTGTGGATGTATGTAGAGAAAGCTAAAACGCTGCAAAAAAAAACCTCAAAACAGAACTGGGAGGAAAAAAAAGCGTTCTAGCTTTACCTACCCAGCACTCAACAATCACACCGGCAAGCATTAACGAAAATAAGCATTAATGTCTCCCAAAGTCGCACAAAACGAAAATATATCTAAAACGCTATTAACTGAATTATAATTACGGCACATTATATATATAGGGGAAAACTTAAGTATGTCAGTCCTAGGCGTGGCTAAGTAAAAAGTTAAACTAGTTCGTGACGCTAATCTAGGAATTAAGAAGTTAAGTTGTTCTAAGATGATACTGGAGTCAATAATGCCGTGGATGAGCTTGTGAATGAACTTAAGTGAATTCATTTTGCGTCTGCTCTCTAAATTATAGATTTTGTGTCTCGCCATCAACTCACTATGAGGAAAGCCAATAGCGGGATATATCCCGTCAGCTTTGTATGAGAGGTATTTTAAAAACTTTCTTTGAACGGACTCTAAGCGGTCAATATATATTTGATGATGAGGATACCATACCAGGGACGCATACTCAAGCTTAGATCTTACATAAGCATAGTACAGTATTTTCAGTGTAAAGGAGTTGTGGAAATCACCGGTATTTCTTACAATAAAACCATACGCCTTTGATGCAGCCACAACAGCATTTTCAATGTGATAGGAGAAGGAAAGTTTTCTGTCAAATGTGACTCCCAAGTCATTAATTGTACTAGGTCTGTCAAGTTTCCTGTCACCAATACTATATTCATACACCATTACCCCTGTTTTTAAAGTAAACGACAAAACGTGACACTTAGCAGCATTCAAAACAAGTCTGTTTTCACGACACCAGTTGTCAACCCTTACAATGTTGCGCTGCAAGCGATGACAATCGCACTTATAGTAGCGCGGCTCGTTCTCCGCGCGGAAAGGCACCTTAACAACACGAACACGACGCTCTTAGCTTTCGTCCACATGACTGGATTGTTCTTATTCCGATAGGTAGTAGCCGAGATGCATCTTGGGAGGACCGCAGCTATAGTGGCGGAGGCAGAGACGCTGAATGGGAGGACGGGGGTGCCAATCGTTACCGGGACCACCGAACAGGAGCAGGTTCATATGACGACGACTGTGAACCAGAGCAAGATGATAGCGATGATGGAGAAGCAACAAGCAATAAAAACAACAAAAGGTATTGTTTTCTGTCTCTCAACGCTATATTGAAAACTGGAATGTTTCCTAATGTTTGGAAGTTAGCAAAGGTGTGTCCGGTACTGAAAGATGTTGATAAATCTGATGTACACAACTATAGAGCTATACGTATTTTAAACAACTTTGCAAAGGCTTTTGAAATGGCAATTTAAACATTTATCTTTGAGAACGTTGAAAGCCTAATTACACCATCACAGCATGGCTTCATCAAAGGAAGATCCACAATGTCAAACTTAATGACAATATTATAATATATAGTGGATAGCCTTCTTTACTTTGGCCTTAGTGACTTGTACTCGGTCTCCTCAGCGCATATCTTTGTCAAATAGAACTCGATATGTTTATTAAAATGGTTATTATTCGAAAGGATAATATATGAACAAATCATTGAATTCATTGAAGAAAGCAATATTTTGACAAAAAATCGAGCTGGTTTTAGAAATAATTATACTACAGAAACATCAACCCAAATGGTGGTGACAGGCTGGAGAAGAAGTATAGATGAGAAAGTATGTATTCTAACAGTATTTTTAGACTTCAAAAAGGTGTTCCTTAATGATATGCGAATATTTAAGGGTGTGAATCTACGTGAAAAATTAATGTTAGTTTGCTTTATAAACTATGGTCCAAAAATGTTTCCTTACAAAAATTCGGGGTGTTGAAATTTTAGGAAAAAAATGGAAATTAATATTTTCAGAACCGCTTCAGGTATTTCACTGATATTTAGTACGTAGTGAAAGTTAATAAAGTTGCATATTTTTCAATGCAAAAATAATTTTTAGCTTTAACAGTGGCGTGCGTCCGGGTCGATCTTTTTCAAAAACAAAAAGGTACGTCAATGGTTTTTTGCCAAATAAACATTATTTTTGAATTTCCCGTTCAATTTAAAACAAATGATCTATCTTGAATTGTTTTCCTTCGATGCGCCATTTTAGAGTAATAAAATAAAAACCGTTCTATTGTCTAACTTGCAAAATTATTATTAATTTAATTGGAAAAATTAAACACATTAGGGGTAATGAACAACAAAACTGACAACATAAACATAACATTAAAACCAATGAAATGATTACAAAAATTACCGTCGGCAAGGCCAGATGCGTAATGCATTTCCGCCATTTCTGCATTTGAATAATTCACCATTATTAACAAGATTGTAAAATCTAAATAATGAAAAGATCACAGCGAACAGATTTGAATAACAGAGACTTGTCAGATGTCAAAAGCCAGTGACATATTCCAGAGCAACTAGATATTTATTGCTAAATTGCATTCTTCAATTATTACATTACTTTTCTCGGGCAATAGAACGGTTTTTATTTTTTTATTCAAAAATGGCGCATCGAAGGAAAACAATTTAATAGAGATCATTTGTTTTAAATTGAACGGGGAATTCAAAAATAATTTTTATTTGTCAAAAAACCATTGGCGTATCATTTTTTTCTTGAAAACTATCAAAGTCAATACCCGTACGCACGCCACTGTTAAAGCTAAAAATTAATTTTGCATTGAAAAATATGCAACTTTATTAACTTTCACTACGTACTAAATATCAGTGAATATTAATATCCATTTTTGAACCATAGTTCCTAAAGCAAACTAACATTGATTTTTCATGTAGATTCACACCCTTAAATATTCGCATATCATTAAGGAACACCTGTAGAACTGTTAAATAGTAATATTAAAAAAATATAAATGTATTAAATGTTAATAAACTTAAATTAAACACTAATGAAACAAAATTTTATGTCAATAGGGAAACATTTAGGTGATAATACAATCTCGGGCTCATGGTTAATGATGAAAAAATTGAAGTAGTCGAATCATTCAAACATCTGGGATCACTCGTATGTGGATAGTAAACTACTGTTTCACGAGCATTATGAATACATTATTTCAAAAATATCAAAAAAAAAAGAAATTACTTCTATAAAGTTTCCCATAATCTCAGTATGTATTTCAAAAAAATTGTGTAAAGCACTATAATTCTTCTCCATTTTTAACTTGTTCATCTTGTTTACAGCAAATAAAAACACATTTTCAAAATTACAAATTCTACAAACTAAAGCTATGAGAATCATTTTAAATAGCAAATGTGCTAGGAGTAAGTCTATGTTGCAAGAAAAAAATGTTTGTCACTTTAAAAAGCATTTATTATCACCACATTTAGAAAACTTGACAAAATTAAATATTCATTATCATAATAGCATAACTAGCAAATCTGTATTTAATAAGGGAATTTAATAAATTGAATAATGAAACTAAACAGTAATCGAATTTAAAAATGCTTAAGCTGAAATTAAAAAATCACTTTATGAATACTATTCAAAATAATGTGTAAACGAATAATTATACAAAATTGACATTGTAACATTAACGCTAAATAAATCTTCAGCAAACAAAATCTCTTATCACTTTGAAATACGATTTAGTCTATATTATTTATTTGAAGTCGTTTAGTGAGGATTTTATATCTGCAGATATCAGCAATTATTGCTGATGTTTTTGATAACACATATAAATGAATAAATGAAATAATCTGAATGCATATAATGTAATCGCATCTACATGATTACTGATAAATGATTATAACTGCAGTGACATTTCTGTATACTAACGGGTGATTTTTTAAGAGGTATAGGATTTGATTTTCAAAAAAAACACAACAAACTTTGAAAAAACGATTAAATCTTTATTCGAGTCGATAGAACGGTCGATATAATTTAATGTTTAAAGATTATTTCATGTAAATGTTGGCCGCGGCTCCGCTTTAGATGGCCCATGCCCAAGGTCCAATTTTGGCGCACTCTCTCCAACATATCGGCCGGTATCTCACGAATAAATGCTTCAATATTGGCTTCCAGTGCGTCAATCGTTGCTGGTTTATCCCTGTAGACATTAGCCTTAACATGGCCCCACAAGAAATAGTCCAACGGCGTTAAATCACACGATCTAGGCTGCCAATTGACGGGCCCCAAACGTGAGATAAACTGTTCACCGAACTTGCCTCTCAATAGGGCCATTGTTTCGTGTGCGGTGTGGCATGTGGCACCGTCTTGTTGAAACCGCATGTCAGCCAAGTCCAGCTCTTCCATTTTTGGCAAAAAAAAGTTTGTTATCATCGCACGGTAGCGCTCGCCATTCACAGTTACGTTCCGGCCATTGTCGTCTTTGAAGAAGTACGGCCCGATGATGCCACCGGCCCATAATCCGCACCAAACAGTGATTTTTTCGGGATGCATTGGTAGCTCTTGCAATGCTTCTGGCTGGTCTTCACTCCAGATGCGGCAATTTTGCTTGTTAACGTACCCATTCAACCAGAAATGAGCTTCGTCGCTGAACACAATTTTTCGATAAAAATCTGGATCTTCCTCCAACTTTGCCAGCGCCCATTCACCAAATGGGAAACGTTGTGCGAGGTCGTGTGGCTTCAATTCTTGCACCAGCTGTATCTTATAAGGTTTTTCACCCAAATCCACGTAGTGGAGTAACAGAGGCTCAATTACTGCGAACGGCGGCGAACCGACATTTCACGGTCATCACTAACACTGGCGGATACAGCCGCAATATTTTCTTCAGTCCTCACTCTACGTCTGCGTTTTGGTGGTTTAATGTCCAATAATGTAAACTGGGTTCGAAATTTAGTCACAAGCTTCCGAATAGCTCTCTCAGTAGGCCGACCAAATTGCCCATAAATTGGAAGCAGTGCTCGATGCACTCTCTTAACCGAGCATGAATTTTGATAGTAAAATTCAATAATTTGCAAGCGTTGTTCGTTCGTAAGTCGATTCATGGTTAAATTATAGACGAAACTGAACGAGTTTTACAATGACACAAGACACGATTCACGCGTCATCTGTCAAAAACAATATTGCCAAAAAGATACTAGCAAAAAAATCACCCATTATTACTAACCAGGATCAACTGGAAGTGAAACAGTATAGAGTACTTTTGGTTCAGAAAAGTTCAATATTGCCTTATAACTAAGCGTATACTAATTATACAAAACACATGAACTTCTGTCTGCGATTGTCAAAAATTTTCACACCTACTTACATACAGGGTGGCCCAACATATTTTGGGAAAAAGGCTCGGACACGTCAATTTTTATTTCTAGGGGAGGCGTCATTTCATCTATAGCCGTACAATAAGATATTGCGTTACACTTTAGATTTTTAGCATCAGTCAGTGGTAATCGTATGTCATAGAAAAACGTCGTCTTTCATTTAAAATTGTTAAGTTACCGACCTGTTCTGATAAATATTGAACAATGACTTATTCAATTCAAGAAAGGCTAGAAATAACAAAACTGTATTACCAAATTAAAGCATTGCAAGAGCTACTGCCCTGGCGTTTAATGCGTTACATTCAGACAAAAATATTAACGATTGTATGTGACTAAGCTGATAAGAAAATATAAAGAAACTGGATCTGTGTCTAATATTCGCCGAAATGAAGCCGCAGAAATAGCAGTTTTGGGAGACGTAGAACTTGACAACACCCAAAGCACTCATGGACTGGTTACTTCTTTAGGATTTATATGCTCAACAGTACAGAGAATTTTTAAAGACAATAATTTTCACCTGTACAAGTTAAACTTGTCCAAGAGCGATTTTGATAGGAGATTGGAGTTTTGCGAATGTATGTCCCAACTTTTAATCAACAATGCAAATCTGTTATTTAATATTTGTTTCTCGGATGAGTGTACGTTATATTTACATGGTACTGTAAATAGACACGATTTTCGATGTTGGAGTACCCCAGTACTTTAACTTTAATGTACGTGTAAACTGGACGGCTTTTTGCAGAAAAGAACGAACCCAGAAAAACAATTATTGAGCAAATAAGCTTTGAAGTTGATTGATAACAAATCCATTTCAGACAAAACACGATTTGGCATACTAAAGGCTTTAAATTTGTGTATTGTAAATGGTATTGCTCGTAATAGTTTATTTTCCTAAAATCTAGATTTTTCATATTTTGTGGGATGGTTCCTTTCTGAAAAAAGCCGTCCAACTGTAAGTTGCAGTTTGTTTTTTAATACTCGGAGACTTGTTTTTGTCATCCTAAAAATCAAAATTGACGTGTCCGACCGTTTTTCACAAATGGGGTGCGACCTTTTCGTTGGGCCACCCTGTATAACTCAAAGCAATCCTAGCTACATGCAGGCCTTTATTTGTAAATCTTAAATCAATGACTGTCGTATCATTGTCCATTTTAGAAACAGCAACTCTTATTTTTTTAAATAAATCTAAATTTGGAAAGATTAATATAAATGACAATATTAGACGAAAACAAGATCTTAAATTAGTTGTACCTAAATCAAAACTAGTGACAGATCCAATAATTTATAATGGTCTAAAAATTTACATGTGTCTCAAAAAATTAACAATTTAAAGATATTCCGCCGTGAGCTTAGAAACGTTTGAATATGTAAACCATATCATACAGGTGTCAGTTCTACAATTTACCTTCTTAATATCCACATATAGTAGCGGACAAAAGTTTGGAAACATTCTTAGTAACTTTTAAAAAGTGCGCTAATCTTTTATCCTCTAGTATTAAGAACCATTTTTTTTTCTCGTATAGTTTGCTTACAGTCTTGAGGATACTAATGACGATTTGTGTTTGCTGTGGTACTACAGACTAGCAGTAAAATATTATTTTATGGCCAAAAATGAGACGACAAAAGTATGGAAACATTTTTTTATTACAAATTTAAATACAATAATTCTACAAAAAGATTTCAAAAAATACTATTTAGCTAATATTTGGTAGCATAGCCTTCAGCATTCAACACTGCCTGACATCTGCTGCTCATAGAAGATACCAATTTTTTACAGACTTCTGTTGGGAATCAAAATAAATCGTTCCAATTTTGGAAAGTTTTTCTTGTCAGTTGTCTTTTAACATGCTCCCAGGTTTAGGTCCGGGGATTGCGATTGCGAAGGCCATCTAAGAACATTAACATGTTTTAGTCTTAACCAGTCCTTTACGAATTTTGAGGTATGCTTGGAGTTATTATCTTGCTGGAATGTCCATCGTAACGTAGTATTAGAAATATCTATTTAGCACATTTGGCTACATAAACAGAATAATAATTGTAAACAACGTAGAATTAGTAAATTCAAGCCATATGATGTATGATATAAATGCTGGGCAAGCTATAATTGTATATTTTACAAGTGATTCCTCAATTTTACTTTAAATTTTGTTTTCTGGGCTTTTATCTCTGGGTATGATTTATTATATTCAATCAACCCTTGATGGAATTCAGATTTTTAGCATATGTTACACTTTTTGGTCATTAAATAGAAGTCATCTTTCTGGTATTACGTAAATGATGGTCGGCATTTGATGATGTTAAATTAGTTAGACTTGATGGAAATATATTATTTTTTACTTTATAAATAAATATCATTACAAGATATTTGATAAAAATTTTTACATTGTGCCATTTTAATTTGCTAAGCATTTGTCTAATTTTAGTATATTTATCTTTATTCAGTATTATTCTCATGCACTTATTTTGTAAAATTTGCAGTCTTTCAAAAATGGAATTATTTGCTAAATATAGAATAGTCGAACAGTACAAGAAATTTGGAAGAATGATGGTATTATAGACCATTTTTCTGCTATATGAACTCAGACATCCAGAAACTCTTGATAAATATCCCACTTTACTGGTAATCTTATTTATAACTTTTTCATAATGAATATCAAAAATTAATCGAAAGTCAACAAAAACCGCCAGGTATTTAAAATTTTCTATAAATTCTATATCTTCACCATCAATACTCAGTTGAACATTTATACTTTGTTTTTTTTTTCATTAACACAGCTTTCGTTTTACTTGTATTCAATTTGAGTTTGTTAGATACTAACCATTTTGAGACAAGTTTGATGTCTTCATTTATATAAGAGATACCAGTCTGAATATTTTTAGTACTTATATAAATCATAGTGTCATCGGCGAAAATATGACTTTAGCATTTTTTGACTATGGCAGGTAAATCCTTTATGTATAAACTAAAAAAAAGTGGTCCCAGGATACTGCCCTGTGGAACACCCAACGTATTTTTAATTTTTGATGAAATAGTGTTATTAACTTTTGTAACTTGCATCCTTTTAGACACATCATTTCTAAACCAATCTAAAACACTTCCTGATATACCATATGCCTTCAATTTACCTAACAAAATATCTCTATCAATCGTTTCAAATCCCCTCGTCAAATCCAAAAATACTGCTATGACAACTTCTTCTGAGTTTATGGCTCTTCTCCAATTCTCAGTTACCAACTGGAAAGCCGTTTCTGTGGAATATTTTTTTCGAAACCTTGCTTGCGCCTCCACTAAAATTTCTGTTTTCTTCTATAAACTGCATTAATTGGTCATGCACTATGTACTGTAATAATTTTTCAATCTGTGGTAATACATTTACTGGTCTCATATCGCTGCATCTTTTAGAATTTTCTATTTTGGGAACTGGTGTTATTGTAGAGCATTTCAAATTTTCAGGATAAGAACTGCTTCTCAGTGAACAATTGATCCAATTTAATACAGGATATCCCCAAATTTCGAAACAGCTTTTCAGCACGTTTTTAGTAGTGATTTCGGCACAGTTGTTGTTTGATTTTAAACTGTTTACTTTTTTCTCAGATCATTCAATGATACGCTTCGAAATTTTCAAAGTGTATGCAACACTTCCCCCTGGAAACTGATTTTAATATAGTCAGGTGCAGCATTGACAGTACCCACAATATCAACAATACTTTCCACAAAATATTCATTTAGTTTGTTTCCAATCACCAAAGAAGTTGTTTCGGCATTCCTTCTTCAGCAAAAAGGAACATACTAAGAATATCTTTGTATGTAAAGTTTTGGGTCCATTTTCCCAACAATTTTAACAAGCCGAGCAATACGATTTTTTTTAATGAGAGGCTTTTGTGCTGGACGCCTACCAAAAAGCCCAAAATCCACCAAGAGTGTCTACACTGTTCTGACAGAAAGATTCTCGGCACCCTATTCTACGATTCTTTTGAAAATCTGTGTGGCTGGCATTCGAGGATCTTCGTGGGATAAACGTTTAATGCATCGATCCAAAACATAATCGGTTTTTTTTCGGTCTTCCGCACCTGGGCCGCGTTGCTGTTGATCCGCATTCTTAATTTTCGTAATCATCCCTTTGTTCCTTTTTAATCTTTGAGAAATGTCAACATTTCTGACACCACTTCTAAATAATTCAATAGCTTTGTCTCTTAAATCTTAAATTCTTTTACTTTTGCTATTTTCACTGATGATAATATTTACCGCACGCAATAAATACGGCAAAACTGAAATGTTTCCGTACATTTGTCATTAGAAAAACTGTGGTATTTAATTTTAATTTAGGTATATGAAATAGTTCATAATAATGTTAATATTTGTTTATACATTTTTGTCCCCTACTGTACGTAATCATGTTATAGTTTAGTTTAAGGATTGCTGTCATCAAGAATGATTGCATTCTTCAGACAATAAAGCATATCAATCTAACTAAATTGTCAATCCAAGCTGATCGTTTCAATTTTTCCGTAGATTTCAAAATACAACGTCTCCTACACACTCTGGGGTGGATAAGAGCTCTACTAGTCCTCCAGCGTTTGAAAAAAAGGTTAATCTTAACCTCACCGCTAATGCCGTTGTATCATCGCCAAGCAAAAAGCAGAACAAGGTGCTCAAAAAAGTCGACTTGGGTAAGAAATTCTTGATGTTCGTTTAATACCTTGAAGATTGAATGAATGTGCCATATAGTTTTGGAAACGGTTGTGGAGTTTCAGGAACACCGCATGAGCTTAAACATAACGTCGTTGAATGCCAAGCAACCGTTTATATTTAGTTACTAAACTAAACCTTGTTAAATGATTTTGGGAAAATTCTGTTTTTTGGTCTCTCTCCGAAAGTACTCTGAATTTCGAAACTTTCAAAGCGGCATTTCGTTGGCTACCTAAATACTAACTTTGCCCGTATTTGAGCGACTTCGTATATCTTACCGTTTCCGGATCCCAATGGTGAGGATTGAATTTGAAACACCTGGTGTATACAGGATGTCCAATAAGTACCACGACAAACTTAATGAGAAGGTAGGCGTTGCACTAACAAAAACTTACCTATATAAAAGTGCCACTGTTTTTGAGATTTTGAATTTTTTCTTAAATTTAAAAAAACTAACCTTTTCATCTGTGGTCTTTAGCTGCATGTACAGGGTGCGTCATCTATTACTTTTTTTCTATATGAAAAATCAACACGCTTTTTACTAGGTGAAATCGATTTTTTTTTATTGATAAATGAAGGTTGGTTTATGCCATTTATTTATGAAAAATAACATCAGTCATGTGACCACCGCGGCTTCGTTTACAGGCCAACATCCGAACATCAAAATTTTCAATGACTTTTCCCAGAATAATCGGGTCTATGGCCGCAATTTCAGTCCGAATATTGCGCATTAGGTCTTAAATTGCCCGGGGATCATTCGCATACTCTTTTCCTTTCAAAAATCCCCAAAGAAAATAGTCAAGAGGTGTTAAATCGCACGATCTCGGGGGCCAACTGACATCTGAATTTCGTGAAATTATGCGGTCTTGAAATTTCGTGTGCAATAAGGCGATTGTGGCCACAAAAAGTCTGTTAACATGCCGCGATAACGTTCCCCGTTGACGGTAATGGCCTTTTCTTCGGCATCTTCAAAGAAGAATGGTCCAACGATGCCACCAGCCCATAATCCGCACCAAACAGTCACTTTTTCAGGATGGAGAGGTTGTTCATGATATTTGTGTTTTTCAGCCCCTCGGAATCTGCAATTTTGCTTATTTACGTACCCATTGAGGTGAAAATAAGCCTCATCAGAAAAGAGCACTTTGGTCGAAAATCCGTCTTCTCTTTCCAGCATCCAATTAACAAAAAGACGCCGCTGTTGATGGACTGCCGGCTTCAATTCTTGTGTTAGTTGCATTTTGTATGAATGGAGGTGTAAATCAATGTGTAAAATCCGGCGTAAAGTGATCTCACTAATTCCCAGTTGTTGCGAACGGTGCCTAGTCGAAGTGGTTGGATCTTCTTGCACACTTTCACTCACTGCGGCTATGTTTTCACGAGTACGAGCTGGACGAGCATGTTGGTATGCTCTACGACCTGCAGCTGAATCAGTTCCCTCAAAACGATTAACAATCTAACGAATTCCAGGCCCTGTAGGGCGTCCATGTCGGCCAAAACTAGTGCGAAGATTGCGAAAACTATTTTTTATATTTCGACCGTTTTCGTAATAAGTTTGGATAACCAAAATGCGTTGTTGTGTTGTAAACGAATCCATGACTATAAATGGCATACCTTTGACAGTTCATTTATGTATACCACATGATTTTTGACTCACATCGTAACACATAAACTTATAGGTAAATAAAAGGCGCACCCAGTACAAATAAGGTTATACTTTGTTCATTTTTTCTATAAAATATTTCTAGATAGTTGCTTTATCATATACAAATGCAATGTAGTTAAATGATATTAAGGAACCATGATAAAATAAGGACTGTTTTGGGATTTATAACCTTCGGATATTATTTCCTCAACTTTCATAAAATCATATCAGGAGCAGGTAATAATAATGTAGCTTTGTACTATTTAGCATGTCACTGAACGGTAACCAGTGCAACTTGAATTTAAATCCAATAATTACATTGTAGTGTGTGTCAGTCATTTACAAAAGCAGCTATCACTTTTTTCTATTCCATCAAATGGATTTATTAAAAACCGTTCAACTACTACAAATCTAGTTACCATAACGCAATATATTTCGGAGGCATTGGACAAGTTGTTGTCATCTACATGGACTTTCCGAAAGCCTTCGATCGAATAAATCATGATGTATTTCTTGGAATGTTAATCAAATTTGGTTTTTCTAGTGATGCTAGGGACCTTTTTGAATCTTATTTATCTTCTAGGTGGCAATTTGTTTCTTATAATAATTTTCGTTCTGATACTTAAAATTTGGGTCCATTGCTGTTCTTGCTATTCATCAATGATTTATGTGAAGATTTGCAGAGTGAACGTTTATGTTTTGCGGATGATTTGAAAATATATTCCGTTATCAATGATTTGACTGATTGTACTTTCCTTCAGACTCAATTGGTGTGATACCAATAAACTACTTCTTAATGTACCCAAATGTAAGATTATGAGTTATTCTAGGAGGAAAACTACCTATCACTTTATTTACCTGTTAAATGGGTTAAGTGGAGCGTTGTACCGAAATTAAGGATTTAGGTGTGATTTTTGATTACAAGTTGACATTTGGTAAACATATTGAATCATTAGTTTCACATTCTATATAGTTATATGGATGTGGTGTTAGAAACTGTAGACATTTCCACAACATCAGAACCATTAAGCTACTGTATTTTGCTTTTGTGAGGTCTAAACTGGAGTAGTTATGCCGGGGCGTAAATAGACTACGAATAGGGTATAGAACAAATTTTAAATCGGTTTATTTAAAATACTATTGACAAGTTTTCAACGGCAGTCCGTATAATTGATCTATATTCGTTTTGCAGGAGCTGCCGCGCATTTTGGTCGCAACGATTCTCTACCGACTCAAACAGATACGGTTCCATACGATGACTTATTCAATGCGAAAACTCCAAGAGAACTTCCCGATGAGATACTGGAGTTTGACCCGCGTGCGGATTCCAGCACTAATGCCGCCAAAGTCACATCACAATCAAAACAGGCCGTGGAATTTGGTGATTTTGAGTCCGTTTTCGGCCCCCCGTCGTCAACGAAGCAGCCGGCTAACGATGATGGCTTTGCGGACTTCAGTTCTGCATTCACGATGAACCAGCAACAATCAACTGCCACGCAGCCTGTACAGAATGTGCTTTCCGGGAATCCTCGTGCAGTACCTACAAATCCAATACATCCGGTAAGTTCAAACGTTTTTATTAGTATATTGATTCAGGATATTTGCTCATTATATCACAAAATATTTTAGTGAGAATATGGAAAAAATATATGACAACATAATAGGAAATATAAAAACTTGTTTACATCTTGCAACTGATAAAAAGTAATTTGCTCGACAAAAAATACACCCTGGTATAACAAAAATATTAAGGCAGCTCAAAATTTGAGAGACAAACAATACATTAAATGTATATTCACAAAATCAAATGATGATTGGCAGGTATATAAAACTCTTAGGAATTAATGTGTGTATGTGATTAGAGAAGAAAAAAGGAAATTCTACGATAAACAAATCGGTAATATAAAGTGCGACAGTGTAAAGATGTGGACAACTTTAAAAAGTCTGATCAATTCGAAGCCGCATGATTGTGTAAATCAAGTTCAATTCGAAAACGGTACCGAAACAAATTCTTTGGTGATTGCAAACAAACTAAATGAATATTTTGTGGGAAGTATTGTTGATATTGTGAGTACTGTACTTGAATATATGAAAATCAGTTTCCAGGGAGAAGTGTTGCATACACTTTCAAAATTTCATAGCATATCATTGAATTATCTAAGAAAAAAAGTAAACAGTTTAAAATCAAATAACAACTGTGCCGAAATCACTACTAAAAACGTGCTGAAAAAATGTTTCAAAATTTTGGCATATCCTGTATTAAATTGGATCAATGGTTCACTGAGACGCAGTTCTTTTCCTGAAAATTTGAAATGCCCTACAATAACACCAGTTCCCAAAATAAAAAATTCTAAAAGATGCAGCGATATGAGACCAGTAAATGTATTACCAGACATTGAAAAATTATTAGAGTCCATAGTGCATGACCAATTAATGCAGTTTATAGAAGAAAATAAAATTTTAGTGGAGGCGCAAGCAAGCTTTCGAAAAAAATATTGCACAGAAACGACTTTCCAGTTGGTAACTGAGAATTGGAGAATAGCCATAGACTCAGAAGAAGTTGTCATAGCAGTATTTTTGGATTTGAAGAGGGCATTTGAAACGATTGATACAGATATTTTGTTAGGTAAATTGAAGGCATATGGTATATCAGGAAGTGTTTTAGATTGGTTTAGAAATTATTTGTCTAAAAGGATGCAGGTTACAAAAGTTAATGGCACTATTTCATCAAAAATTGAAAATACGTTGGGTGTTCCACAGGGCAGTATCCTGGGACCACTTCTTTTTATTTTATACATAAATGATTTACCTGCCATAGTCAAAAATTGCAAAATTCAGATTTTCGCCGATGACACTATGATTTATATAAGTACTAAAAATATTGAAAGTGGTATCTCTTATATAAATGAAGACTTGAAACTTTTCTCAAAATGGTTAGCATCTAACAGACTAAAATTAAATACAAGTAAAACGAAAGCTATGTTAATCGGAAAAAAATAATGTACAAATGTTCAACTGAATATTGATGGTGAAGATATTGAATTCATAGAAAATTTTAAATACCTCTGGGTTTTTGTTGACCCTAGATTAATTTTTGATATTCATTATGAAAAAGTTATAAATAAGATTAGTAGTAAAGTGGGATATTCATCAAGAGTTTCTGGATGTCTGAGTTCATATAGCAGAAAAATATTCTATAATACCATCATTCTTCCAAACTTCTTGTACTGTTCGACTATTCTATATTTAGCAAATAATTCGATTTTTGAAAGACTGCAAATTTTACAAAATAAGTGCATGAGAATAATACTGAATAAAGATAAATATACTCCAATTAGACAAATGCTTAACAAATTAAAATGGCTCAATGTAAAATTTTTTATCAAATATCTTGTAATGATATTCATTTATAAAGTAAAAACTAATATATTTCCATCAAGTCTAACTAATTTAACATCATCAAATGTTGACCATCATTTACATAATACCAGAAATAAAGATGACTTCCATTTAATGAATCACTTGTTAAATCTACAATTATAGGTTGCACAGCATTTACATCATACTTCATATGGCTTGAATTTACTTATTCTAAGTTGTTTACAATTATTCTGTTTATGTAGCCAAATGTGCTAAATAAATCTTTCTACTACTACTACATATTGGAATTGTATCCAGCTCGTCACATAAGTATAACTACAACTGTTGACGTCGACAGTCCTCTCAGTTCATTCACATTTACTTCTATGCCTACTGGCGGGGAAGTATTGGGATAGCGAAAATTTTCTAAAACGATATACAGTACCGAGAAAAAGCAGAGAAACAAACCACATTACAAATAAAAATCCAGAAAGATTTACTCTAACTGTAAACTAAAGTTTTTTATTTGACTACCTCAAAATAATGAAATGCTTATATATTTGTATTCATTCTTTTATTTCAATATAATCATAGCCAATCAGCTGAATTTAAACCGATCGGTAAAACTATTAAGCTGTTCCGCCTCAGAAAATCGTTGGTAAGCCCTCCTAAGACTGGTAGACCGCGAAAAACCACACTTAGGATTGATAGGAAAATTAAAAATCCATTTACTACTGCTGTGGACATAAAAGCTCAACTTGAAGAAGTAAATATTGGTATCCGCACTGTTCGAAGACGTTTAAGGGAGAGTGATTTACCAGCAAGGAGACCATCTGAAAAACCCTTTATTTCCAAGAAAAATCGGACCGCCCGTCTTCAATTTGCTTACGATCATTTGAACTGGTCAGAAACAAGGTGGAATTCTGTATTATTTTCTAATGAAAGTAAATTTAATTTATTTTCATCGGATGGCACAATCAAACACAGAGGCGGGAATGTTCAAATATGGGGTTGCTTCTCTGGTCTTCAAATGGGATCCATCGTCAAAATTGAAGGAATTATGGACCGGTACATATACTTGGAAAATAATAAAAATATTTTTTGCAGATTACAATATTAATGTCATTAAGTGGCCAGCTCAGAGTCCAGACCTTAACCCTATAGAGAACCTCTGAGATTTATTTAGTTGATAAAAAAATTCTGTCTGAACATTGAGAAAATTTCAAAAATAGTGCCAAACTATTGGAAACAATCGAAGTCGCCTGGAATTCTATTCCAAAAGAAACAATAGATAGCCAATTGGCTCTATGAGTCTAGCAGTTATCAAAAATAAAAGTTATGCAACCAACTTCTTTGTGTACGACAATTACTTTGTATATTATGTTTCTCTATTTTTACTCGCTGTATTTTCTAATAGTAATTGTTAGCATGGTTTTATTTTTTATTATTATTTTCATATTGGCTTTGAAATACATGTCACATTAAGTTATAATAAAACATAAGTGTTTAGTTTACTTTAATAGTTTAATAAAATATTTAAGAGTTTAAAATGTTTCTCCACTTTTGCTCGGTAATGTATGTTTCTTGGATATTGTATGAGATGTACAGGGTGGCCAACTAAGGATGCGAGGTACTGTATCTGGGAACTTATCCATCGTTAAAGGCTTGCGACAAAAATGGTTATTTCCAAAACGGCCAAGAGAAAAACCGGGACAATATTTTCGAGTTTCTGAAATGGTCGCTATAGGGTGTAACTGCAATCTTGAATCTGAAAAAGTGATGTTTCTATGAATTCCGCTATATTAACCTAAAAAAGAAATACCTTAAATTCGAGGGTAATCTGAACCTTTTTTGTTTGACAATTTATCTCTAAAAATAAAGTGGTGGGGGGTATTCAAAGGTTTCCGTAAAAAATACCTTCTATCTGTGAAACGGCTGAGCCGATTTTAACAAACTTGGGATAGCTGAAAAGAGCTATTTTTGGGATACAAATGTTGTAATATTTGAAGTTTTGTTGGTATCACATGTGTCCGCTAGAGGGCCTTTTTCGACATTCCGACAGAGATGGTTAATTTTCTCAAAAAAATTAAATGCATTTGTACGACTTTTTTTTATGAAAAAGTAGCTAAATGATGTCTTAACAAGCTCGCGAAAACTCCATCTCGATTTCTTGTTCATAACCTAAAATTTAGGCCAAAGAAAATTTTATACGGAAATGCCGACGCTTTGTGGGATCGTGTAGCGCTCCTTGATGAATTGTACACATGTGCTTTAAACAAGTACTACGGCGCCACTTACTGAAATGCGTGTATCAAGAATGGAGCGCAATTTAAATCAGGCAGTTATATATTGGCCACCCTGTATCTATTAACCACCCAACTAGCAAAGTAATGGTATAAGCTTTTGGTAAAAGAACCGTTCAGCCACAAAAGCTCTCTATTGTTGTTGCCTGAACACCAAAATGCTGGCTTAATGTTGTGTGGAATGCAGATTTGATTTCTGCAACATATTTGCTCTAAAATGAAGTGTTTAAAATATTCTTATAGCATAGTTATACAACACCTTATAGAGCAAATTTTTATACAACTATTTTATACGGCATATTTGCACGTTAGTCAAAATGGTTGTGATGTGGCATCCATTGTAACGTTTATAAAACAAACCCGAGCCTTGTTGTTTTGCTGTGCAATTTACTACTTTAGCCAACAAATTGCTCCCAACGGAAGCACTTATACAACTGTTGTTTAGTAACTGTTAAAGGCTGTACATATGCTAAATATGTTGGTAAACAACTTCACCATAACCTAACTTTCTGCTGTCATATTTTTGTAAAATTCCATAATCAATGTTTAATACAAACAACGCATGCATATTGGTTCAAAAGGTTTTATCAACTGTTCAAACAGAAGATATAGATCTGGCACAAATTCTGGGTAAATCATTCGGCTCTGTCGGTATTTCATTTCAGACATTTGTCAAATTGTTGTATAACACCTGCAGGCAAGACAAAAATATTCTAATAACCTAAAGAGAATATGGACGATGCCATGATTGTACACAACCACCCGCCATATTGGGCAAACATGTATTTATTCCTCTATTTAATATTAAATAATTATGTTTCAGTTCGAAATTACAGATATAAAGTGATAAACATTAGTGTAATTGTGTCTAAATATAAGATTTGTGGAAGATTTAACGCAGATAAGTTCAGTTTTCCATCTTGAAAATCTAGACATACTTTTGATCATTGTCAAAATATGAATCAAATACGAAACCCGTAGAAATTGGGTAACTAATCTGCACGATAATCACAATAAAATTTGCTGCGCAAGTAATTCAACAGCCCTATATCACAGTGTAGAAGTTTATCATATACCTGTGTATGAAATTCACAATGGCCGATATGTAAGTACACAAGATGACTGTAATGTGTTAGTTATATATTCTTTACTTCGTCTATACAATACATAAGAAATAGTTTGGTTGCAATAAAGTAGAATCACGTAACAGAATAGTTGTATAGTTGACAAAAACTGAATCTTGCACTGACGCAAATGTCCTATAGCGGCTGCAAGAGGCTTACACTTTTGTATTATAACTGTTACCTGCAGCCCTTATTTAACCTCTTAAATGACTGAAGTGTCCTATTAGGTGTGCCCATTCCCCTTGTATAGCTGTTCTAAGAGGGTTTTGCCAATGTTCTTACAGTATACAATGCTGTTTAAGGAATACTGTATAATCATTCTTGCAACTCTAATAGGAGTGATAATTGTTAGTAGACCGACCTAACGCAGATTAATTGAATTCTATGTTTTATGTAAACTATTGAAGAATGAGTGTATACCTTTTTAACAAACTAATGTAAATTCCTTTTATTGACTTACAGGAAGAACCTTTCATGAGCCAGATGCCAACGCCAAAGCCCTTGATTCCTCCGTTGGGCGCTGTACAAACGCCGGCAACTCCTGCACAAACATCGGCTGCGGCTGACCTTCTGTCCGACCTCAACTTTTCCTCGCTACAAATTCAACAAACCGCCCCTCATATACAGAACAATAATTTCGGATTTGATTTGCTCGATGGCCTCAATCCTGGTAAGTTTCACGGCACAAAGCATTACCTTAGTATATAGTCATGAAAATGATCTGCTCCGATATGTATACATACTAGGGTGTCCCAGCACTGGAGGGCAAACAAATTTTTGTTCGAATTGAGATACGCATACCCTCTATTTTTTTCCAATTGACTGTAACATCTCAAAAAATAAATATTGGGATCGGGGAACGACAACGACTTTGAATTTGAAAGTTGATTATGGATATTTATCATTAAAGGAACATTATTTACTAAATTTTCTTTTCAGAGTTTTTTACTGTCAGGATATACCTGCGTGTGTTCTTGTAAGCAACGTAATACAAATTGTTTTTGTTCCTCATCAGCAGTGATTAAGCCATGGAAGTCTTGTTTTAACTTGACTGCTCTTTCTGCAGTATCGTTAACTGCTCTTAGTGTTTGCACCTCGTTCTTAGCGTGTTCAAAAGAATCATTATGAGGCCATGAAGTTGGAAATTCGTCGAGAAAACTGGCATCAATTTTAAGTCGACTGAACAAGGACTTGCTTTTGATTGAAACAAAGTCATCGATAGTTTTCTCTGAAAGGAAAAAACGAAGAATAGCAACCACCTAAACGTACTGATTTTGTGCGACCGATCACGGACAATAAACCATAAACAGATGCTTTGTGCTTTTTGGCAACTCATCGGCATCTTCTAGGTTTGGCCTCAGGTCAGGACAAGGTAGGAAAGCATAGCAACTAACCTCTATCTGAGGTATAAGATCTATCGAAACAAGACAGTATGAGGTGCCATCTATTGTCAGAATCGCAGTTTATGCTTTCTTATTTTAGCATATTTTATCGAAGCTGTAAAAGCAGACAACGGAAAATGTGTTAGCCAAAATTACCATAAAGTGGGTCAGAAAGTCTTCTTTCGATGGTATGTAGCATTTACCGTGGACTGATGGACTTTCTTTGGATAAATTAGCAACAATTTTGACTTATTTTCCTCACCGACGTCGTCGTCAAACAGAGATAAGACAGAGACATCAAATACCATGAATGTTGGCAAAGCTGCGTTTGAAATGGTTTTGTCAATTCTTTCGTAAGGCTTCATTGCCGTTAAAAAGCATAAATTGGTGGTGCTTTCACCGCTAAAGCGTATTGCAACCACGGTTTCACGTATGTTGTCACGATAATCAGGCAGATATCTAACAAAGCTGCCATATTCTTATTAGAAAGTTTGAGCTGGAAACTTAGTAACGCTATTTTTAATGAGTGGATTGCTCTGGCCATCCATCGAGCTGGATGGTGCTTGGCGGTCCAATCCTAGATTTTTTCTCTATCACTGCCAAGGAATATTATTAAAAGTTCTGTTGACCAATTCCGAAAAAAACAATTTAAAATTTTAACTTTTATTTCACAACAAAAAACAGAAATTAACTAAAAAAATTCAAAGAACTTAACAAAGCATAAATACGACAAACAATGACTATACGAGTCCCTTCCCACTTCAGTTGGCCCACTTCAAGATTTGTACCAAAATATGCCTTTATAAACTAAACATGACGAAACTATTTACTTCTAAAACAATTTATTTTCTCAAAAACATTTTAGATACACTCTAGTCGTAAAAAATACATATTTGAAATCACTTAGACCTATAACTAATAGAACATCTGAACAAATAAACAATCTGCGAATAAATGCGCGAAGTTAACAAAGCAACAATTGAAAGATTACCATTGGGTAACATCACCTTTATTTTTTATTACGGCTGAAATTCTTTGGGGCATAGTGTTAACCAAGTTTTGGCAAAAATTTGGTGTAAAACAATCCCATATTTCTTGAAGCTTTTGTCCCAGTTCGGTGATTGTACTAGCAGGATGTTGTCGTAGAACCTTTTTCATCTGGTGCCACAAAGTTTCAATAGGTGGCAGATCTGAACTGCCAGAAACCCATTTCAAAAGTGGTACATTATTTTCTTCCATCCATTTTATAGCCTTTTTTGAGGTATGGCACTGGTAAAAGCGAGTCTTCTAAAATTGCCAAATATTTGTTTGTATCCACATTTCCATCAATAAAATGAAGTTTTCCTACTCCTTTTGATAACATAATGGATGCTGGAAATTACACTTTTCTCTTCAGAAAGTCAACATGGAATGCTTCATTTTTTTTGCGAATAACTCTACTGCGACTGTCACCAACACAAACTTCGAATCGGGCCTCATCACTCCATTGTATTGCACATCATTGTTGAGGTGTCCATTGTCTATGTTCTTTAGCCCATCCAAGCCGATTTTTCTTTTGCAGTGGAGTTAATAGTGGCTTTTCTTTGGCCTATAAACAAGTTGTGCACTTCAAAAAGTCCGGATTATTGTCATGTTGATGCAACAACCACTCACAAAACCGCACTCTTGCTGGAAAATCGTCAGGTTGAAGGGCTTGTACACGTTGGACGCAGCGTTTGCCACACTTTAGTTTTTGATACTTGCACTTCTCTAGCCACGTCTCTAGTTCTTGTTGAGGGATTCACGTCTACGCAAAAATATGAGTGCGTTTAAAGTTTGGTATTCTAGAGTAGAACGGATTTTATTACATACAGGGTGTTAATAAAGTATGTAGACAAACTTTAACCATCGAATCCTTGGTCAATTTGAAGACGAAATTTCCATATGAACATGGGTCCGCAACGGCTTTGTTTTCAAGCTAGAGCATATTACCACTAAAAGAAATGATGATATTGTTCTAAAAAATTATAAAAGAATGGAACGTATTTTATTTTAATTAAGTATGCCCTGTGGTGAATATACGTACATAGATACGGATATTGTTATCCAGTGTTTTTTGAAAAAATAGCATGACATTGATTGGTTGTGATCGCAATACTTTTGATATTTAAGCATTGTGCTTATATAGACACCTATGACGTACCCGAAAACAATTGAATTAATTTATTTTCTCAAATAATCCGTGGCCACTTACATTTATTGTAAACAAACTATTCCATATTTTCTATTGTTGTCGTACTATTCGAATGTTACTGTTCAAAACTATTGACCTTCTAAATAGTGTTTTTTTCCAAAAATACAGGATAATACTAATTTCATCCACGTTCATATAGAGCCTCAGCAATTTGTAAAACATGTGAGTTATACCAACTGTTCAATAAATACGTTTCATTATTCATAGAAATATTTGGAACATTACTCGTATTTCTTTATGGATAGTGCTCTAGCTCGAAAACAAAGCCGTTACCGACCCATGTTCATATGAACATTTAGTCTTCAAATTGACCAAGGATTCTATGGTTAAAGTTTGTCTACATACTTTATTAACACCCTGTATATGTATATCCTGCAGAAGAAAAGCATATCTGGGACTCTACACTAGTGAGCTGAATTGTTTAATTGTATGCTTTTTGAAGCAAGCTGCCACGATTTCCGCCATTCAAAAAAGTTAACTTCTTGGCTAAGTATGCCAGATACTACTTTGGTCTTCTTCTGCTTTGTTTCTGAATGTGCAACGGTTCATTTTCATGTGCTTTGATAATTTCCGCAATTGGAACATCGTCTTCGTCACTGCCAATTTGACAATAATTTGCACCTCGAATATATATACTAAATAACACCTAATAATAAATTCCGGGACTCATACTGAAATTATTAGCCAATCCCGGGATTTTCGAGATAGGTTTTCTTCCAGGATTCTGGGACCCCAGTAAACACTTTTCCAGCTCTCGTGAAACTTTTTAAACATTGGAATGTCAGGGCTTGTAGTCTCTTGGTCGATCTTTGATTCAAATACGCCTTTTACCACCAATTCGTAGGCGCGATGGCGGCAAGCAAAACTTAGCTTTTCTTTATTAAGTTTCTGTTTGAGAGACGCAGGCACCGTTAATGGGAGCAGTATTTGAAGCTGTAGTATCTCAACGGAGAATCTGAACTTTATCTTCAAGATCTTGTTTAGTAGAGGGAAGTATGACCGGGAATTTGAAGCTTTTCGTTCCCTATTAAAAATATTCCCTTTTTATAACTGCGTAAGTCCTTCGATATGTTGACTGAACGAAAACGTTTACTAATGGAACAAACGAGCACTGCAATATATGCAAGCTTTTTTAGAGGGTATGCGTGCGAAGAAACGAACTTTCATTTTCTTGGGACACCTCCTCGAGACATATCAAAACAGACGAAGACCTAGAGTACTCACTCACCCACAAGTGTATATGGTTGGCACTAAATTTTATTACGTTTGAATGTTTCCATTTCAAATCAGAGGATTATCAGTATCACGGTATAAACCTCGAGACAAATTTTGTATATCGTATTTTACTAAAAACATGTTTGAAATTCTGCAAAAAGGCTTCCCTCAAGCATATTTTTAAGATGGTACTTTTGACTTTTTAAATGAATGGAATGAAGCTTTTCACCATTGGCATTGGGTGGTCAAGGTCACCTTATTCAATATTTTTAAAAAACTTGGTAGGTATAACAGTACTTTCAAGGTCAAAATAATGTCCACACAAGGTTACATCTGATCGTGAAATATCCAACTCTACCCTTTTCCGAGATCAAAAGTGTATGGGCACATTTAAAAAATTATCTTGAGCTTGATTTGACCTTCAAGAGTATGCTCAAGGTTGAATTCAAGGTCCCTCGAGGAAAATCCTAAACTCCTACGGCTACTGTTACTGTACCCCTCGAATATTCTCAAATATCTTGCTGTTCCAGGACTTTAAGACCACCTTGTGTGAACTTTCCATGTGCTTTTTGGACCTACGTTATGCCCTTCTATTGTTTTTTGAATCACCCTGTATAAATCCTCCCTATAGATAATTGAAAAATGCGTGATACCTTTTTGATACTTCTTTTCGTGTTTAGAAAAATCACATAAAATATTGCATGTGCGACAACACTATGGAAACTTGTTGATAGACAGGAATCGATCCTTTCGGGAATGAACGAGAAACGTAATTTACCATATTACATATTACCAAATTTCCCCGAAATAATTGTAAAGTTTGGTTTTATTGATGAAAGT